ACTTATGTATATCTTATATGAGGGTTATAGGGCTGGCTGTACTGGGTGCACCGCCTTTCTAGACAAGTGAACAGTGACGTAGGCAAAATTCTTGATTTGCACAACCCCATGAGAGAGAGTATTTATTGATTATTGGGTTATTAAAGTAAATAATATGAAATCCCATCTAGAAGTCTATCGTCTATTACTACTTCTTACTTGAGTACCGGGTATTTCATCAATCTTTAAAACACAATTGAACACATCTCAGCCCAACTTTCAAGGTTTCATCTCAACCCAGTATTGACATTGACATATCATAAGCAACACTCGGGCTTTGCAATTATCAGCTTGTCAATTCCTACGTAAAAGGACTGGAACGTCTCCACTCTCCACTACACCACACCACATAGTCTCGCACATTTATCGTGGCTCCTCCTTCACTTCATCGAGCTGGTCGTCCTCAACATAAGATTTCTCTCTTTCGGTATCTATTCCCACATCCTAGGCAGACGGCCCGCGAGCGCTTCGCGAGTTTCCGTTTCGAAACATTACCGCACTATAAACTTCGCGCACAATCACGGATATATAATTACATAGTTAGGACTCAGCTCAAACAAAAAGAGGATAGAGCTGCTGGGAGAACTGCCTTTCAAATCCTTGGACGGCGGGGGAGAAGATTCTTAGGTGGCAGTTCTAAAGACAATGCGACGGCTTTTGGTCAGCTAGCCCCATCATCCAGTTCGATGTCTAGCTATGTCGCAGGTGGATATGGGGAGGAACATAAACGTGGGGGAAAGAGGGAGAAGCTGGCAGGATATTTTAAAGCTGCAAATGAACTCCGACAATCATACTCGCAATCGTATTCCGAAAAATGGGGAGGAAACAACGGAGTGGATGATGATCCGCTCGGAATACCAGGTTCATTCCCGGATGTAGCGATTGTTTCTCATGGAGATGAGCAAATGATTTTATTTCCATCGTATGCGCGGAGACATACGAAGGAGAAACCCTTCTTTGAAAATACTAACATGAATCCCAAGTTGAACGAACCGGGAGATGCGGAATACTGGGACAGGGAATGGCAGAAATATGAGGATGACAAGGCTATAGTCGATGTGGATGTTAGAGGATGGCTTTACTCTCCTCATAGAGGGCCTATGACAAGAAAGAATCGGCTACTCATTGGACTTGCACGTCAGTTGAGTGGCATACCAGCACCGAAATCTGGGAGCCGCGATACCAGTCCGGATTCAAATTCATTAAGAGCGAAGCATAGAGAACATGAGGATAGACGTGATGAGGAGAAAATTGCCCGAGAAGCAGAACAAATATTGAAAAGGGGACGAGGTGAGAAGCAAGCAGCCCTTCGTGGTGACTACAGTGAAACGCCAAAACCCGATTCAGATAGTGATAGCATTTATGGAGAGCGTGGTAGGCGGCGCGGTGGTAGTTCAAGAGTGTCACCTGAGTCATCTCCTGCTCCCGGTCGACTGTCGAAACGTGCATCATGGAATCAGCCTTCCGAGATGACCCAGGCGGAGCTTTTGACAGCAAATGCGCATTTGATGGCACGATTAAGGCCATTCCTTACGAATCCAATGGTCTCTACAGCAATCACGGTCTTCTTCTATGATGAAAAGAACTCTTCGTCACGAACAATAGAAACAAATGACGCAGGTCATTTCATTATGCGAGCTGCTTTGGAATTTGTTCCTACACATGTTAGAGTATTGGCCTCGGAGAATCTTTCAGCGATTGAAGAAGTCAAAATCACTGAACCAAAAGGGGTCAGTCTAATCAGTGATGTCGATGATACCATCAAACATTCTTCAATTGGTGCAGGGTCTAGAGAGATTTTCAGAAATGTGTTCATCCGTGAATTCGCTGATCTCACGATTGAGGGTGTCAGGGAATGGTATAATACAATGTATGATATGGGTGTAGGGGTACATTACGTATCTAATTCACCTTGGCAGCTATTCCCAGTCCTGGTGAGCTTCTTCAGAAAAGCAGGGCTGCCACCTGGATCTTATCATCTAAAGCAATACAGTGGAATGCTTCAGGGGATCTTTGAACCCGTCGCAGAAAGAAAGAAGGGCACTCTTGAGAAGATCATGCGAGATTTCCCAGAGAGGAAGTTTATCCTGATTGGTGATAGTGGTGAAGCAGATTTAGAAGTCTACACAGATGTCGTCCTAGCAAATCCGGGGAAAATCCTCGGAATCTTTATTCGAGATGTTACAACACCTGCCGATATAGGATTCTTTGATACGGCGCTGGGCCCACTCAGTGGAGAGCGTCGAAGAATTGAACCTTTATCTCGAACACAATCCATTGATAGCAGGAGATCATCTACATATAGTAAATCAGACCAGTCAGACAAGCGACCATCTTTACCTCCTAGAGTACCCTCGGAAACGAAACCTCAAACCAGCAATGGTCCAGCCATGGGGACTCTCATTGATTTCGCAGATGAGCCCGAGAATGAGCCTGTACATATACCTCATCGGCGAATGATACCTCGATCTATGTCAGATATGGAAAACCTAGGTGTTCCACGACGAAAGTCTGCCAATGATGGTAAAGCGGCTCCACCTCGACCTTCCAAGCCTCTGTCGCTTCGAGGAGCAAGCACAATTACAGTCGTTCCACTTGAACCATCCGAACCCACCAATAAAAGCTCTCCCCCACCGCCACCAAAACCTCGTCGTTCGGGTGCTATACACGGAAGTGTACATCATCCATTGAAACAAGCACAAAGCAGTGCGGAAATGTCAGAATCATCTAATGACGGCTACATATCTAGTGCTCGCCATAAAGTTGCAGAGACATACAATAATCTTCCCGAAATGAGATCGTACATGCCAGGCATGGGCGAATTAAATTCCAGGCCCCAACCTTCACCCAGTCAAACACAATCACACTCACACTCACACAGTCCATTATCGCCCCACGGACCCCCGCCCCCACCACGCCGAACATCCACCATCCCCTCCTCAATCTCCACAGCCAGCACTCTCACCCTCACCAACACCAACAACAGCAATAACAACAGTCCCTCCTCATCCGAAGACGAATATTACCGCCCCAACCACGGAGCTCCCACGAGCAAAAAAATTAGAACTGTGGAAACGTCGCTGGAAACGCGCAAAGGATATACTGGATGCGCAAGATGTGACACTGAGAGCTTGGAGGACGGGCGGGGATGTGTGTATTGAGGTGGTGCATATCGTGGAACAGACTATGAGGGAGATGGGGGTGGAGGGGTATGGGCATGGGAAGGGGAAGACGGGGTGGGGGTGGGGAGGTTAAGGTTAAGGATTTGAAAAGGTAGAGTGGGGTGAGGGAGGGAGGGTAAGAGGGAGTGAGTGTGTGAGGGAGTGAGCGGGTTGGTTGGGGGGGGTAGAGCGATGAATATGAATTATGGTATGGGGTGTGGTATGGGGTGGATTTTTTTTTTTGGAATAGCTAGCTAGCTGTATGGTATGTATGCAGTGGATGGGATGGCGAAATGACTGACTACAAGAGAGGAGAGAAGAGAAGTGATACGAAGGAACATAACAGACCAGAACGAAATGAAATGAAAAGGAACACCACAGGAAAGAAATGAAATGAAAAGAAAGAAAGAAATAAGAATCATGATTTATGCCAATTAAAGAATAAAAGAATCAATGAAAGAATAAATGAATAAATGAAACAAGAATCTCGCTCTCTCAATACAATACAATACAATACAATACAATACAATACAATACGATGTACTCGAGTAGATAATAAAACTCGTAATGCGAGTTGATATGCGAGCGAGCGAGTATTATTTAATTTTAATTTTACGAGGATGAGTATGAGTATGAGTTTCTCCTAGGAGAGGGAGGGAGGAGGGAGAAGATACGATACCGGTATAATTGATAGAGAATTGATGGATGAGGTGATTCATATTCGTATACACATACACATACAAATACACATACATAATAAAACAATGAATGAATCATTCGAATTGGTATGGTATGGTATCACGACACTCCCCCCCCCCCCCTTCCTCTCCCACGATTATTCTACCTAACTCCATCTCCATCACTATCTCCCATCACTATCTCTATCTCTTCTTCGCACCACCCGTTCTCGTCGGTCTCATAGGTTTCTTTGCACCCGGACCTGAAGGTTTCCCACCCTTAACTTTCTTCTTGCCCTTCTCCGTAGCCAAAACCCCCTTTCCATCTCTCTCCTGCCTACCCTTTTTCCAAACCCTTCCTTCTATGCGCTCTCCCTTGTCATCCAACTTCTTCTTATCCTTATTGCTCAACTTGCCCTTTTTGTTACCACCCACCACTCCATTCAATTCCTCTACTCCCAACTTCTTGGCTGCTAATTTCTCTTTCTCGCTCTCGAACCATGTTCTCTTGGGTCTCCCCTTGATCTCCGCTTCGTGATCCATAAAGTTTTGACCCTTTCTCACCTCCATTTCAGCTTGTGCCAACACCTTATCTTCTTTCTCCTCTCTCAAAACCTCCTCGATTTCCTCCGCCATCTCATCAACCTTTTCGCTCCAACTATCCGCCTCGCTAGCTTCGATCACTCGACTGACGACCTTGGCTCCTTGTGTACGACTGGATTTCACAGCAGCTTTGACGACTTTACGATCGGGTTCTGCGGCTATGGTACAGGCGCGTCCGGCACGACCAGCACGAGCGGTACGTCCTACACGATGGAGGTAGATGTCGTGAGATTGAGGGGCTTCGTAGTTGATGACTGTATCGACACCTTTGATATCGAGACCACGGGAGGCGAGATCGGTGGCGAGGAGGAAGGAGGCTTTTCCGTCACGGAATGACTCTACACTTTTAATACGCTAAATGGGTTAGTCAATGAAATTCTGTGTTTGGGAGGGTAAGAAAATACCTGTTCTTGACTCATGCTACCGTGCAATTCAGTAGATTTGAGACCAGACAATCCGAAGATAATTCGTGCTCTATGAGCTTCCTTCTTTTGTCTGAAGAAAACAATGACTCGATCAGTGTAGACGTTTGCGCAAAGATACAAAAGATATCCCATGCGTTTGAGCTCTCTTCCTGGACGAAGACGAATAAATTCTTGTATCAAAGTACCAGCAGTTGACTTCTGAGCATCGACGAGTAATCGAACAGGTCGGTTGAGACCCACTCGAATGAGGTTATCAACGGATGAAGACATTGTTGCGGAGAAAAGCATAGTCTGTCTGGATTTAGGAATGGTTGTTAAGATCTCGTTCAACTCATCAGCGAAACCAGCTTCAAGCATTCGATCAGCTTCATCGAGAACGAGAATTTCCAAAGTATCAACAGTGAAGCTTGGGGAATTGCGCATGTGATCAATAAAACGACCAGGAGTAGCAATAATGACATCTGGACGAAGACGTAACTCGGCTTCTTGAACTTTCAAACTAAGACCTCCAACAGCCAAACAGAATTTGATATCAGTGTGGCTTGCAAGCTTTGTAGCAACTGCGTGACATTGAATCGCCAACTCACGAGTTGGCATAAGAATAGCCACTCTACTGGTTGGTATTTTCTTTGGTCTGTAAAGAAGACGTTCAAGTACCGGAACGATAAATGCGGCAGTCTTTCCGGAACCAGTAACAGCTCCACCAACAACATCCTTCCCAAGCAATGCAACAGGTATAGTTTTCGATTGAATTGGTGTAGGTTGCGTGAAACCAACGGTAGCAAGACCTCGAAGAATTGGTCGAGATAATGACATGCCATTAAATGTTGAAGTGAGTTCGGGCTTAGCACCCTTGACTGGCTTTTCTTCAGGGGCAAAAAACGCCGCGCGTTTGGCAGCTTCTTCTGAGTCTTCGTCCACATCCTCATCATCATCATCATCGGAGGCTTCAGAAGCTGCATCATCTGGATGCGGTGCTGGTGATGCGACGGAATCGTTATCGGAATCATCATCTTCTTCGCCCGCTTCTTCGTTATCCGATGCCTCGGAGTCACCATCATCTGCTCCAGATTCTTCCGCAGATCCAGCACCCATTCCGAAACCATCCTCGGCCATGAATTCATCGTCCTCGTCCTCGAAATCCATATCTGGCGCATTTTGTTCTTCGTCCGAAGCTACGGCATCTTTTTGTTCTGCCATTACTTCGTCCTCTGGATCTCCCTTCTTCTTTCCTGCAGCTTTCTTCTTTTCTCTCCTTCGTGCAATGATCTCATCAATATCCACTGCCTTTTTGTCACCTCCATTGAGTCCTTTCTTCGCTCCGTCGAATCCCCAGCCCTCAAATTCCTCCAAATCTCCCTTTCCATCAGCTTCCAATGCAAATTCAAAGTCGGAATCCATAGCCCCATCATCTGCATCCTTAATTCCCCATATCCCCTCTTCTTCCACATCTTCATCCTCGGACTTCTTCTTCGATTTCTTGGACTTTTTAGCAGTCGTAGTATCGTCATTGCGTTTGCGTTTTTTGTTTGAGGAAGGATCTAGAGGCAATTCTTCTTCAACGACATTAGTGAGATCTTCGCCCTCATTATCTGATAGTGTGAGAACAAATTCATCGTCGATATTACGTTTAGGTGCCATGTTTGATTTATGCTGTCTTGAGATTTTTGTTCATTGGAGAAAAAAAGTCAGAGTGTGACTTTACCGCTTTGGCAGAATCTTTTTTATTAACAAGATTGGCTAGCCTCGATGATCTGCATAACTTTCGGTCATACAACAAAGCATTTTCATAACTTTACTCGAATTATGCTACATACTTCATCAATAATGTTAAGAGGGAGATCACTATAAAGTAACAAGGGGAAATGTGTCATTTATGTATTTCATTATCTAAAGTACGTTGAAGAAGTATTCCACCACTTAATGCTTCCTTCATTCATTCATTCATTCATTCACTGTTTCTTTCTTTCAACTCCAAATTATTCACATTCAAACCAGAGTCGCATTCCAACCGAAGAAAAAAATAACTAGTAACTAGAAGTCAATATGATATCAACCATGAACCTCCTCCAGAACCGTGATAGCAGCAATGGTGACATATTGAGATAGAAACGAGAAAAAATAAAATAAAATAGCGAAAAAAGAGCAAGCGGAACATTCGAAAACCGAGAATATGTTGATCGAGAATGTGCGTCAAAACAGTTAGACAAAAGGTGTGAACTCGGCTTCATGTTCAGTTTCAAATTGGTAGTGCACAATATCGAGCCACTCTCCTGCACGCTGTGTTATAGAAGTTCGACCAACACTCTTGAGCCGAAATTCCTCAATGAACCAAAACTTCCTCAAGAAATCCGTCTTCCATTTGTAATTTGGGTCATTCTTTCTGAGAACAGGAAGCTCGATCATCATTTGATGACAACGAGAACCACCACCATGATCATAGGCAGGATCATTATTATGGTTGAGCCAGTCATACCCTTCATGACCAGCCCAAGCACGGCTTGAAACTTGAAGGAGTCGATCTAAGATACATCCACCAACACCCTTGCGAGTGTAATCGTGGTGAACGTAAAAGTGCATATTGTGTGTGTACCTAGATCGACCAGTAGGTTTTCCAGCGATACCACAACCACGCATCTCGGTATATCCAAAGCCAATGACGTTTTCGTACTGTGGTATCTTGGTCTTGACTTTTGGATTCGCGGATTGTGCTGGGATACGACCTTTGACGGCAACGACGAAAGGATGCTTGTCTTTCTTGGTGATCTCGATGGTGAATAGAATATCACTCTCTGTGAGAGGCTCTTGATCCTCTGGAATGTAGGATTCGGTGATGTAATGATTGTAGATCTGTAATATTTGCTTTGCATCAGCTTCGGTGGCAGGTCGGAGATAAATCTCGATCTTAGGAGCGTATGGGTTTGGTGCAGGCTCCATTGCCAAAAGCGCTTGCTGGTGAGCATTGTCTGCGATGATAGAGTGTTCTCGTGCCTTTTGGGCCTTCTCATATTTCTTGGTGAGAGCCATTGCATCCTGGCCAGAAGTCTGATTAAGTCTCTTGAGCTCATTGGTGGATCTCAAGGTATCTGGCAAGGAGGTTAGCCTATGGCAAAAAGCACGTATAATATTCAAGGGAATTTGACTTACCAGGAATGGTAGGCTCATGCTTCGGCGCCTTTGAAAGAATGACGTTATTGACAAGATCTTCTCCAGATATGAAGCCTTCGGCAGAAGTGTCGACAGTGACAGTGACTGGGCGTTGAGGGCTGACCGCAGCAGACCACTCTTGGATATAAGAGGGAATGTAAGCGGCATCGAAGCTTCCACGTTCCTCCCAGATTGGTGGCGCACACCAGCTACCGTCCCAATCGCCCAAGACTACATTGGCATCTTGCGTTGCAGTTACACGAACACCTTCCTTGAATTTTGGATCAACGACGGTGTTGCCCATCTTATCGCCAATATCAGAAAAGCTAGAGATTGACCAAAATGGAGGCGAAGAAACTAAGCTGCCAGCTTGCTTCTTCGTCATGAGCTTATCATTGAACGGATTGTTGACTTGTGTGTCGGCATGAATGACATTCTCATTCTCATTTGGTGTAAAGCTGTGAACAGCAACATGCGAAATCTTGTCCTGAGATGACTCGCCCTTGAGAACTGCCAATTTGCCAGTAGTATTTACGGGTGTGTCATCGACTGTGTTCAATGCGCTGATGACATTCTCGTCAACAGAATTTGTGTTGATGAAATTCTCCTTCTTGATGATCGGGACATTAGTAACACCGTCGTTGATTGCTGTCTTCAACTCCAAAAGAATGGCTTGAGCATTTTGCATGGTAGCTTCTGGAATGGCAAAGACTTCCACATCACTCTTTGGCGCAGAATCTTGAGTATTGGTCTTGTTGATAGGCAGTTTTGCGGGTGGAGAGGTTGGGGTATTTGCGAAGCGACGAGTCAGAAGTGCATCGAATTCGGCTTGACCAGCAGCTAACTTGCGTTTTTCTGCACAGGCTTCGGTTTGTGTTGGCTTTCTTGGGGTTGTTTTTGGTGATAAAGGCTTGAGAACAGTTTGTTGTTGTGTTCTTGCCGCATCAGCAGGCACAGCCGTCTTGTTCGCGAGGAATGTTTGAAAGTCTTCATCTGCCTTGCATAGAGCCTTTCCTTGGGTCAACTTAGCAGTGGTCCACTGCGAGATTAATTGTTAGCAATTTTCTCATCTCTAAAAGACACGTCAGGCGTGGGAATGAAAAGAAGGCAGACACCTCGAGAAATTCGCTTACTTTGTTTATCGGCGCCGGAATGAGAGGCTTGTTCGACATTGTTGTGGTATCTGGGTTTTTTGGGTTTTTTGTAGAGTTGTGAGTTTCCGAGGCTGAAAGGTCAGATCTCACTTGTTGGGTATTCACTGTGGAAGGGTTCATTAGCTCTGAAAACCCAAGGAAGTGTGTTTTGAAAGTTATACGTGCCTTTGGGATCTTTTTTTATTATTAGCGGGGGTTCAACAATCGACGTTCTCTTTAGATCTTTCTCTTGTTTTCCCTTGATTAGCATTGCCATAAACTCGTTTTCTTTCATCATGGAAGGACCAGAGATGACTGGCTGGGAAGGATCAGTTAAGTTGTGTGGCTCGCTACCTGCGTCACTAGCATTTCGGGAAATTGGCAAAGGTAAAGCTGGGATATAAGCCGGAATAGAAGAACCTGACATAGAAGCAGCTAGGATGGAAGAAGCTGGGATAGATGCTTGCTTTGGATGTTTCTCTGTTTGTGCCTTTGCCAGCATCTCCAAGAACACGTTTTTCTTCATGGTAGAAGGAACAGCGGAGATTGCTTGAGAAGAACCAGTTGATGAGTTGGTCTCGCTACGCGCAGAGCCGCCGGTCTTGGTGACGACCGGCACGTTATCAGACTTCTTCTCGATCATGGAATTGGCCTTGGAGACATTTGAGGGCTCTTGGCTTGCGACGGAGACGTTGTTATTACCATTGGTGCCTGCTTCGGTGGCAGTGGTTGGTTGAACCTTGCCCATTCGCTTTTGATAGTCTGCAAGGAGCATCTGTTCAAACAACTTCTCCGGGGTTGGCTTCTTGGCGGTGATACTTTTGACGACAGCAGTAGGAGACTTGATGATATAGTCAGTAATAGGAAAAAGAAACGGAACAAAAGGCATACTGAGACCAAAGAAACTCCACCACCACTGGAAGGTGATGCCTCGAGAGATCTAGGGGCAAACGACTGTGATGATCTACTCAACGAAGAAGTTTTACTCTTCCCCTTACTTGGAGTTAGGACAGTAGCACATACTCTAGGGACATTCTCTCTGGAACTGCCTTGCGTGTTAAGTCGGTTCCTAGTATTGCCATTCAATTTAGGAGCATCTAATACGATCAGCAAAAGAAAGACGTGCTATAGGCAGGAGAACTTACAGCGAGAACTATCTAGGCCACCAAGCTTGAGAAGTTTGGATGCTATGTCGTTTTCATTTGTGGGGACGCTCATCTTTGATGATAATGAAGGTGTATTCCTACATAAAGAGTTGTCATCGAAGTCGAGATTCTTAGGACCGCCTGGAGTGACTTTATAGTTCTTCTGTTCTCCACGTGCCCATCGAGATGATCCAAGACCATTTGCTTTCCCGGCAATTTCAATTACCTCTTTTTCGAATGCCTGATAGGCCTTGTACGCATTTGCTCGGAGGACTTCGTGGCGAGCTTTCTCAAATTCTTCGTCTCGTTCTGTCGAAACTATCAGCTTTGGTGGGCTTGCCATTGCGACAAAGTACGACAAATACAGTTGTAAACTTGGATTTGTAGGTGTATGGCAATGGCAATGGTAATGTTAATATAGAGCCCAAATTGTGTTTGTAAAATCGGGGACGGAGTCGCAGGTATATGTCAAAAGTGTAAAAGTGTTACTTGTTCGAGGGTGGACGATTAAGAGAGGCACAAGAGAGAAAAGGGGAACAAAGTAATGTGAATTCTCTGTAGGAGAAGAATAAGGTATGTAGTGTCTGTGTAAAGTTGGTGCTGATATTGGAAGAGTTTGTTTGATAGGAATCTTGTAAAATACAAAATCTCTGAGGAAGTGTGTATGTGGAAAAGTGGTTGAGAAAAGAAAAAAGAAAGCAGACCAATTTTATGGGAAAGATATTTTCAACAGTAAGAGACAACAAGGTAGGCAAATTTTATTGTCGAGCGGCTGGGAGAGTTATTGTGTGTTTGAGACGAGTTCAAAGGTGAACATGTTATTGCTGGCCGAGGACCTTAAGGTGAGTTGCGGAAGAGTGAATTGAGTGAATTGGTGAAGTGAGAGGAAACAGAAAGTATCCAATATTTTGGATTATGAAGGTCAGAAAAGAATATAAACATCAGTAAGTAGGTAATAAGTCACTTTAATTGGTTAGGTAGGTACATGTAATATAAATATTAGTTATACTAGGTATCTATCTAGGTAGGTAGTCAGTTTATCATCGGTTTCTTTATGGGGAAGTTACTGAGGAGGAAAGTGTGGTTTTGAGATGGTAACTTTAGCTATAACTGGTTCCATCGAGCTAGGTATTGATATTGATATCTTGTTGCGCAGACTGATAAACATATGAGAGATGAGAGGGTATCCAGCAGCCATGACCCGGTATATAATACTCGTACATGATCAAAGTTTGGATTACATCACGTGATTGCCCATATGTCCTTTCTTCAAATGCGAGTAGACTTTCTTCTCTTTCGATGAACATTCAAGGAAAGTAATTTTAACGAAAATCAGGGAGTTTTTGATCAAGATGTTGTCAGTATTGCGTAAGGCGAGACTCAAGGATAAAGAGATGAGAATTTTGATGCTGTATGAAGCTGTTCCCCTCGTAGCTTTACCTTGCTGATTCATTTTCTTGCACAGGGGACTGGATAATGCTGGCAAGACTACAATAGTGAAAAGAATCATGGGCGAAGATGTCAATACTGTGAGCCCGACACTGGGTTTCATCATCAAGACTATTGACTATGCTGGGTACATCTTATGGCACCAGTGAAGACATTGCCAACATGCTGACCTTTGAAAGTTACAAGCTAAACATTTGTAATATATCTTTACCTTCCTCATCGTTCTAGTGAACTGAACTGTACTGAATATTCTCGACCATAGGGGATGTTGGTGGACAAAAGACTCTTCGGTCATATTGGAGAAACTATTTCGAGAAGACCGATGCCTTGATATGGGTGGTTGATGCCACCGACCGTTTGCGTATCGACGATTGTAAGGAAGAGTTGCATGCTTTACTGCAGGAAGAGGTTTGTTTACAGTGAAGCGTTGATGTCTGCAATAGCAATCGCTAATAGCTTTATAGAGACTTTCCGGCGCGAGTCTTCTTATTTTCGCAAACAAAACTGATGTGAATGGCTGTATGACGAAGACAGAGATAAAAGATGTGAGTGAAGCCGTGAAGCCTGTAAAAAATTACAGGCTGTGATGTGTGTCGTCAAGAGAAGTGGGCATACTAACGGGAAGTAGACGTTGGTACTAGATACAATTCGGACGCACAAATGGCACATCATTAATTGCAGCGCAATAACAGGCGAAAATCTGGACGAAGGATTAGCTTGGGTGGTTGAAGACTCCAAGAAACGATTGTTTTTATATTGAGAGTTGGTGGATGAGCTGGGAGTTACACCTTGGTTGATATACTAACCGGGAATATCCCATTCAACTCTTTTTTTAGTGGCATAGTTACGAGAAAAAAAAAGAGCTTTGTTTGTTTATTCTGATTTAGGAGTTCTCTTCTCTACGGTACTCATTGATTTCGTGCCCACCCCATCCCCCACCCTCCCACCTCACATCTGTATAGAAATTGGCTACCAGGGGTCTTCTTGTCTTACGATACGGCTGTTTGTATAACCCGTATAAGCGCGTGGTGGTTGTCAGCCGCTCAAGGGAGTATGGAATACTAGGTAGATATTGATCAATTGAGTTGTAGGAATAGATACAGAATACTCGAAACGTATGGTGAGAAATGTAGAACAATACATCTGCGTTTGCATCAAGATTTGTTGAAGCACATACGATATAAGGGGTGCCACGTTTTATGAATGTATAGTTGTTGAAATGGCTATAACCTTATTCACATCTCGTACTGCAGCTGGACTTATGAACTTTATGAAACCTTGAAGCGAAGCTTAACCTTCCTTATTAAAACCATTCCTTTGAGGTACTTCAACTCAACAATCTCGACCCCTCGTGCAAACGCGTTTACCCGCCGAGTTGTTAACTTGGTTTGTCCTTCATTTGTGAAATACACCATTCAAAACTCTTCTCCTGTGTTGCTGTACCGCTGCCTCATATAAATATGTCAAATATCGAAGGAGAGGCCGATGTGAACGACTTCTTGCAGCGTATCAAAGAATTGGGTAATAAACGGGACCAAGAAGACGAAGACCGCACCAGAAAGTTAGAGGAAGAGATACTGCAAGGCAGAAAAGCGAGACAAGCTCGCAGAGCTGGTAATTGATTCCTACTTGACTTGAACCTTCTTTCAGAGACATTGTTCCACCCGCCGCCATACAACAATATGATATGTCAGATATGTAACTTTTTGCTAATGTTTACTTTCAGAAAGGGCATTATCAATCTCACCTACGAAGTCCTCTCCTATGGGTACACCTACCAGACCTATCTCAGGCATCATTTTAAACTCGGAAGATCAACCTTCAGAATCTAGGCGTGGGAGTGCTATTGACAACGGGGTAGATGAATTAGCAATGAACTCGATGTCGGATTTCAAGCGAACCTCGCAGATCAGAGATTCGCCGTCGAATGCTATGCCCTCGCGAAATTCACCTTTATCATGGGCTCGCAGACCGGAACCTTCCGATAAATCTCGAAGTCGACCTTTGTCAATGGTAGCTACAGATAGGGTAATGCTATCGAGAACAACTACACCGACACCCGACAATACTACATCTGCCGATGACAGTACACCTTCTCGAGAACAAATCGCACAATCGCTAGGATCCAAAGATCCAGCTTGGTTTAGGCAAACTGTAGATCGGGGCGTAAATTCACCAGCTTACAGAAAGAACCAGGTGGAGGACGAAGAGAGAGCAATACACGGGTCAATTCAGATGCCAGGAATGGCTCGTAATAGTTATTTACCTGACAAGGCAATGGACGAGATCAAAGATCCTTCTTCAACACCTTCGAGGTCGCCAACAAGACCATCAGCAAGAAACAGTATTTCCTTTGGGAGCGCCTCTAGAATGTCGTACCAAAGTATCCCAGGTGCTGGCATGGGGTCTGCAATTCCAATGACCGACGCTCAGAGGCTAGATCCACCTGTTGCCAGTGATAATTTGTTGGAGGTTCGAGGTCTAGCAATGTCGCCTTCGCAGGGTCGCATATCGCCTGATAGACTAGACCGACCTATTTCTCCGACTAAAGGAATGGGTGGGTTTGTACAAAGTGCGATGATGAAAAGATCGGAGAGTATGAATAAGCGCTGGTCTGTTCAATCACCTTCATTAGATCGGAAAAATACGTCTTTTGATCCTAATACGGATAACCAAACTACTTCACCTTCAAGACCCACGTCAAGACCTACCTCAAGTCATGGTGAGCTCCATCGCCCAGGCACAGCGAGTTCGATGAGAAGCAATATGACAAATTCCACAATGAATGATGGTTCCATCTCCATGAGGCCATCTCTGGCAACAACTAGGTCTTATACACCGGCCGATCCTAAAGAGGCAGACAATGGGAACCAATCGCCTCCGACAGATGATAGTTTGCCTATTAGCCCTACGAAAACCATGGATTCAAGACGATGGAGCCCTACCAAATCCAGTTGGCTCGACAGCGCACTAAACAAACCCGAATCACCGAAGCCTAAAGCTACGCCACCGCCTCAACAACCCTTGTGGATGTCGGAGATTAGTAGAGCAAAACAAAAGGGCAGTGTCGACTTGGGTAGAAGTCAAACGGTAAAGCATGAAGTAAACATTGGCGGTCTAATGAGGTCTCCTCCACCTGGCGCATTGACAACACCCTCAAGTATTCGAGGCTTCCCAACAGCATTCGCCCCTGGAGTTACGCCACAGCGAAACATTGAGAGCATGATCAATCAGGACAGTAAGAGTGCTGCTGAGAACACAAAGGTCGAAATACCATCGACTCCCTCCACTTCTACTCCCATTTCTAGTGCCACGCCCAAGAAAAATACAAATTTTACACCCACTCCATCTTCAACATCTAAAGCCAATTTGAACTCACCTGCCGGTCCAGCGAAAGTCAAGCCCGTGACGCCCCCGAAGAATGATTTCCGGTCTGTTTTGAAATCACGTCAGGCACCTACTGATGAGAAACCCAAAGAAGAACCTGAATTCAAGAATGTCTTTGGTCAACTCCGGAGAACGAAGACTCAAAGCTACATGGCTCCAGACGCACTGAAGGACAATATTACACGTGGCAAGGCAGGTCTTAACCTTACTGGCGGGCCCATGAAGACTGACCGTAAGGACGAATTCAAAGATGCCATATTGAAAAAGAAGGAGGATTTCAAGAAGGCGCAGGTTGAAGGACACGGAGTTACAAGATCTGCCAGCGGTGGAAGTCAGGAAAATGTGGTACCTGAAGCTTTGCGAAGAAGAAACACCTTGGGAAGGAATGGCTCCGTCTCTAAGATACTTGCATCTTCTTTAGAGTCAAGTTCGCCGCAGCTTACTGCTTCAGCAAGCCCCACTCCGAACTTAGTCAAAGAAACCAGTGCCTCAGCACGCATGCAAGAAAAGAATGCAATTGGAGGTAAGCTTGCTGGACGTTTTAACCCTGCTCTCGCAGATTTACTAGCCAAGGGCCCACCGTCACTTGCTAGTGAAACCTCAAGGTCTTCAAGCCCCTCGTTATCGCAGCGCACGATCAGTATGAGCACTTCGACGACCAACCTCGAACCGAGTGAAAATTTACCACAACTCACGCATATGACCAAAGGACGTGCTCGTGGACCGAAACGAAAAGCACCAACTACAGCCGCACCAAAGACTGAAGAAAAGACTGAAGAAAAGTCTCAAGTTCCATCCCCTATGAAATTGCTTGCTGCCTCTGAACGACCTACGTCGCCGGCTACAAGCCCCGTTGGACAGCCAATTTCAGCCTTGAACACAGAACAGCCGCAAGAAATCATCTCAGATTTCCAGCCTTCGTCACCTCGGAAGCTAGATATGAGGAGACGATCTCTATTCCTACAAGAAGCACCAAAGAATAAGGATACACCATCGTTGGAAGCCCCTAAACCACTTTCTCCCGTCAAAATTGCTAATTTCCCTGAGAATACGGTAAAGGCACACCACAACAAGCTCGATGCAACAATTCCGCCAGATCCACCAAAACCGGAGCCTCCAGCGCCTGCCAAATCTCCATCATCAACTAAGGTCTATGAAGATCTCACATTCAATGATCCTGTATCACCAGAGTCTGCGAAGCTCCGTCCCGCTCCATTATCCCCAAGAAAAGCAAATTCGACAAAAGCCCCACCGCAATTTTCGCCTCGTTCTGATGAACCACCACCACTCAGTCCATCGAGATCAGTCAAGCACACTGCAGCATTATGGGGCCGAACCAATTCAGAACACCCTGCTCGCATATCATCTCCAATAAAGTTACCCACCCACGAAGACGAAAAGGCAGCGTCAGTAGGCGCAGGTTTGCGACCTACAAGTCCAATGAAACGAAACAAGTCATATGAAGATGAAAAGACACCTTTAGCAGGTGCAGGTTTGCCGCCTATTAGTCCTTTGAAACGAAATCAGTCTATTGACCTAGGACTACGAATGGGGCCGAAATCAACCTTAGAGTCATCATCTGCGCGCGCTCTTCCAATTCCTCCAGCTAAAAGACTAACGTCACCAGTAATGAGCCCCGGTCTTCGCTCGCCCAGTATGGCCTACTCTCCAGTACCTCAAGCATCCGAAGCCTCGCAACTTCTTGCTGACTTCTTCGGCGAAGAGCCCAAGCCAACTCCAACTTACTCAGTCGATACAGCAAGCATCCTAATGGCCAGACAAGATACAGTCTCAACTGTACGAACCATGAAGTCTAGCTTGTTTCATTTGTTTGGGGACGGAAAGAAACAAGCTGTTTCCACTCATCAAGAGCGTGTCCTTTTCGAACGTGACATGTATATATGCCCACATACATTCACCAACGCAGCTGGCAGGAAGATTACTGAAGTATACTGGTGGATTGGAGATGAAGTCTCTGAACGTGTCGTCGGTGGTGTTGAGATCTTTGCCCAGAGAGAGGCCAAGGGTTTTGGCGGCAGTTTTGTAAAGTTGAGACAAGGCAAAGAAACTCCAGAGTTCTACCAAGCTCTTGGTGGTATCATTATTGTCAGGAGAGGATCATCCAACAAATATGATTCCCTCGCACCTCATATTCTCTGCGCAAGACAGCAATACGGAATGTTGGTATTCGACGAGGTTGATTACTCACCTTCAGTCCTGTGCTCCGGATTTCCATACCTCATCTCCTCGCCGTTAGGCAAGACATATCTATGGAAGGGTCGAGGTAGTACTGCTGAAGAGCATGGCTGCGCCAGACTTCTTGGAATGGAAATTTCATTGACTGGCGATATCGAAGAAGTTGAGGATGGTGATGAGTCCTCGTCATTCTTAAAAGTATTTGAGAATTGCAAAAGAATTCCACAATCAGCAGATCACTGGAAACTCAAACCCGCCTACAACAAATATTCCGCACGTTTGTTCTGTGCTACCACTACTGGCAAAGAACAAGTATGTTCATCCATTCCCTACATTATTTTATTTACCTTCCTACTAACGTCACATGCAGATCACCGAAATAAATCCCTTCTCTCAAGCCGACCTCTCCCACTCCGCAATCTACATCCTCGACGCTTTCTTCGAAATTTACATCGTCATCGGCGCCAAAGCCCAATCCCAATACGGTGCCTTTCATAACGCACTCCAATTCGTACAAGAATATGGAATTCTCTCGGCGGGCATGGAAGATCGTCCCTTCGTACCAGTATCTACGGTCGTGATAGAGGGCATCCCAAAGGATTTGAAGAGTGTTTTCAGGAAGTGGGTTGAGGGCAGAGCGCCAACTATTGTGCAGAAGAAAGATGGGCATGGAGGAAGTGACTTGAAGAGAGTGAGAAGTTTAAGAGTGGTACCTTTGACGGCAGCTTTGGAGGCTACGAGGGGCTAGGTTGCTGCAGTTGCGTATATCTTCGTCCTGGCATTTTTCTAAGGAGTGGATTGATTTTGGGGGATGTGCGTAGGAATCGGTATTTCAATCGTTTGTACTATGTTACTGGACTGCTACTTTGGTCATGGATGGATGGATGGATGGATGGACAAATGCATGGAGAAATGGTAGGAGGAATTGTCATGGAGTACATTCTCGCGAGCTTTCGTTGTTTGGAGCTTTCTTTGTAAAACTTATTATTTGATACGTTTCGTAACGTATACAGGTACTCCATGGAGTATTTTTTTGAGCTTGAGCAGATGGGGTTGGGGGAGAAGGTGGGATGGAGATAGGGATGGAGATGGATTGTACATATAGTGTAGTGTAATAATATGAATATCCAATATGAAATATGAAATATGAGATATGAAATTACTTGAAGTCTGAGTAGATTGTTCATTACTTGTTATGTTATTAAATAGGCTCAGCTCAGTGAGCGTATGCGAATTTCTTGAATAGATTGGATATACTGAGTATATATAGGTCCGGGATCATGGTCGAGAATCGAGGATCGAGGGATAGGATAGAGGATAGAGGATAGAGACGACTTTTATAGATTAGTAATGTGATTTAGTATTGAAAGTAGGTAATTAGAGATTGATGTATATTTTCAGATATATACGAAGTTACTTTTATAGATGTAATCTGAGTCTGAAATTGAAATTGATTTGATACCCCTACCCTTGGTTGGTTGAATGATCGACCTCCTATGTTTTCGCTTATGTGTAGATAGATAGATAGATACAATGTAGATATATCTACGAGTATATCCAATCTATAGCACGAGCATTTTTAAAATACACGGCGATCATTTATGATCATGATATCTCCATAAAATCCAAGTATCCGTCCGATAAACTAAAATCGAGTAAATCACGTCTCTTCCTCAAGAATTCGAGATGTTTTCGATTTGGGAGGGTCTTGATGAAGAATTGTTGTGCGTGAAAACTGAAGTGTGTGTGTGACAGAACCATGATTCATCTCAACAATATATATAGTAAAGAAAAATTGTGATTAATAAAACGCTCGGGGGAAAAGTTTACCGCCTAGTAAGTATATAACTCATAACGAAAAGTTTAGTGTAGTCGCATTTCTTCAGTTTTTGCACTTGTAAATAGCATTTCTCTCTATCTTGAACTTAAAGCTACTAGAAGGTAATCTTGCCCATCTAAATTCTCAGTTACAAGGGCTATCCTTACGAACATCAATAGACCAACCCCTATTTGAGATTTAGGGTTCAAGGAAGAACAGAATGTACGAGTATTAGTTAGCTAGCTACTCATCAACAAGAAGCTAGACACATTCTAAAAAGTCAAATCTGACAGTTTTTCGACAATTTCACGAGGGAAAGGTTTAGAGTTTAGAGCCGAAAACATAGTGCACAAGCTACTGGCTAGCAGAAAGCCGGACATGTTAAACAGAGAAGTCTAAAGCCGTCATAAAATCTGTCCGCTTCCACTAGCTCTTTGACTGTCACCAATAAGGGACTTCGGAATATATCTTTGGCGGCCATAGGAGAATGAATGGGGATGATGTAGGCATCGTGTGGTCCACATTACTATAAAGCCCCACGGATAAAAATATGATTTTGCAGTGTAGGACTCAGTAGTAGTTTAAACCAGTCGGGAAACTGGCAGTTTAGGAGATCGTACTTGAAGTTGCAGTCTGAATCATACAAACTAAATCAATTGATAATTTGAATTCATTAAACTGACTTATTAATTTAAACCCCAAGTTACTAATCTAATCAGACTTTAAACTGTGAAGGATATGTATGTGAAACTAGTACGGGGTACGTTGGTAAATGAAGTTATCAATAAGGAGGAAAAGGAAGAAGCGGAGCTTCTTCATTTTCTAGTAGCTAATAAGCTAAACTAATGCTAGTACTGATATGATGGGAAGGTGCTTCCTGACATAAACTAACTTGTCTAATAGTTTAAAAGATTATAATTTAATTAACAATTGAAACCATACAAACTAAGCCAACCTTCAGTTTGAATTAAACAAATTAAATTGCCAATTTATCAATTCCCTGGTATAACTGGTTGACTATTGACTATACTAGTATAAAACGTATTTGTTATAATCGACGATCATTCCGGCTGATGAAACTAGAGAACTGTAGTACGTAGCACAGGAGTAAAGTAAAAATGAACAGCTGGAGATTTTGGAACCTTGCCCGAGAAACTCAGAACGATCATGTGACACAACACACAGTACAAACAAGTAGAATCAAGACTCCTGGAGGCAAAGAGCGGCTTGAAAGGCACGGAATCGATTCTTGCGCTAAAGAATGCTTAGCCGTACTCCTGGATATCTAACCAAAAAATTAAACCTATAGGACGCTTTTTCTATCTTTATTGTGTAAGCACGGCGTCTTCTAATAAGCTTTCGTCATCTCTTCACGCTTATGGCCAAGCAAAGCCCAAGACGGGACATTTTGCAGCCATATCGAACTGACTTATATCATCCATCGATTCCGCTGGTAACCAGTCCAAGTTCTCCAAGTTCGACATATCATCCCCACCTATGGATTGTAGGGGGTCTATCCTCGGCTTTCCGGAAACTTTCCATTCCCATCGCATATCTTCATTCAGAATCAGGTTCACGACCTCACTCATCTGTATGAACTTTGAGACCGGGTATGCTTCTGAAGGCTGATAAACCAATTGCTGTTCGAGATTCCAGTATCCTTGTACGAGATTGATCGTTGATGAACTATCCCACATTCCCTCTTTTCTCGGGCACCGCAGTAGAAGTTCTAATGCTTGGCGACGAGTTGTTTCGTTGGGTGATTTGACGCATGTATCTATTTGAGTAAACTGATTAGTATTGAATTACAATGTTAAGACTTAAGAACCATACAGTATAAAGGAGCAATTAATCCCAAGTCAGTTGAGAATGTCAAGGAAGATTTTCCCGCCTTCGAATCCTCCTCAGCGGCGTTTATCAAAGATCTTGCGAGATTGACGACCATTTGGAATTCCAGCTCGAATACGGAAGACTTTTTGGGATCATTGTTAGAATGTTTAATGCTTCGAGTGTCGTTTAGGTCTGGCTCCGTGACCCTAGCCATAATGTGCACAGTTGTATAATGAATCTTACACAGTGCGGCACCTCTCAACTGTTTACTGTCGAAAGTGTGACTTTGGCTTCTCATGAAGTTCTCGAAAGAATCTTTCCAAGCGTCCAATTGTGAACGAGATTGTACATATAAATCCATAGCCCCACTTGGTTGGCATGCAGCAGGGAGATTGCCATCCCATAAGTAACCTCCTCGGAAAAGGCTATCGGATGCTTGAAGTAGACTCCTTCTTGCTACGTCCAAGTTTTTGAATTCTCTTGGAATAATGTTTTCTCGACTACTGGTAGTCGATATTACTCTTGCGAAAGCCATACGTTCTGGGATTGTTCTAGTATCGATGTACAAGATAGCTTGTATGCAAAGTCTCATGAACATAGGTGCAATTATTTCCTCAATCATATCCTCGTCTTGGGAGTTGTTTCGTAACCGATTATCATGCAGAATCTTCAGGCCGCTCTGTAAATGCATTATGGCGCTCGAAAAGTGGCCTCGTAACGAATCGAAGCAAACGAAGAGAATACAAGACATCAAAGCTGTGAGCGGCTTTTGTTTGCCGGCCGCTAAAGATCGTCTAAGATGTGAGATGGCTTTGGTATATTGGCTTGTCGCGAACCCGAATCCTGATCTAGCAGCATCACATTTCGTAGCAAGATCCAGCCTTCGGTTTGAGAAATCTTCATGAAGAGTGCCGAGTCCTATGATAGCATGCCGTAGAGATGGATCCGCAATGCTTGCTTGCAATATGAGATGTTCCCAAAAGGATGGATCGAAATATCCACTGAGCTCAGTTGCTGTGTTAGAAACAAAGTATTGAAACCCTCGTCGCTCGTCCACAGTACCTGGTAAAAATGTGGGTAGTCGCTGGATGTCCAATGCGCTTTGTACTTCCGGGCTCAATCTTTTGAGGTCTACAGCATAACCATCACAGCGTCGTCTAGTAGAAACACATCTTTCACATGAAGGCTTGGCTTCATCACACTTTATTCGACGTATCCTGGATTATGTCAATGGCGATCATGCATTTAACAGGATAGTACAACTTCATACTTGCAAGTTTGGCAACCCGTCTTCACTTTGGGTCCACATCTCCTACGTCGGGATACTATTTGGTTTGGACTTTCAGTTGACATATCTCTTGAGCAATTTCAAAGGGTTTCCGAGGGATCCAATGGAGATGCTAGTGATGGCGTGAGTAAGCAAGTAAATACGATGCAACCTCTAATATACCGAAGTTGGAGAAGCTTGGAGTGGACCTTCAAGGACCTATGCCAATATATAGTCCCGCCGATTCCATGGCAATGTCATTAGCTCCCCTTTCTTTGGTCTTCAGCCTTAGGTGATGTGGAGGGTGCATATAAAGGTGCATATGTGAATCCACCAATCTGTTGGCATTACTTCCTTGCCAAATATTCTTAAAATCAAGAAACCCTTTGACATGGTGAGATTGAAGATACGCCGTTAATCCTCTTTGCTTGGCCAAGCTTGCTTAATTTGACAGTAGCCTTGCCTGAGCCACAAGGCTGATACATTCGAAGATACGAACGAACCAATCAAACTCAATTACATAGTTACTTAGTCACGCTCAATCAATACCTACCAATCATAGAAATCCATATCTCCATCAAAACTATCTTAAGAAGCAATTAAATCCACCTTTATCCTGCGGCACAGTCAGATTCTACAAAAGAAGTATGATAATGTCCTTGGCACAGCGGCGCAGACCCTATATTTAATGTCATATCACAACAGTCTCTGATTAAGTATATGGATGGCATGGCACAGTTCTGTCCTTACAACCGTACTCTCGCACATTTCCTCATCGAGATCATAATATCACCCCGAATTATGTGAAATCCAGAGCAAAAAGAAGGAGTCTGCAAGAAAAGAAACCAGCTGTGAAAAGGCAAAAACATATCTTGATTCACGACACCTGAGTGATTCGAACACTCGCTCCCGAAGGAAATGCCTGACTCTGTGTTTTACAGTAGCAGGGCATCGCGTTAACCACTCCGCCAAAGTGCCTATTTCATATACCCAAAGCACGCTCATACATGTATATATTGTATGTAAATATGGTGGGGGCCAAATGGAATTGACCAGATATCAGGTTTGCTTCAGCGGGTGGTGGAGCTGGCAATATTCAAGAACCCGCAGGGATCCACATGGTGCGGCTATGTGCATATAGGATTTCCATTACTTAATAAATATCATTAGCAAGTGTTATGATAGCTTTAATGTAGAGACTCAGCGGCTCGACAGACATTTCCCTCGGAGGATTTGGTATATCCCATCTTTTGTATAAGCCTCAACCGGCGACTTGCAACAAATCTTTGAGGATATGTGGCTTTGATCAATTGAAAGTCCTTTGCCCTTGATCCTTGAGAGCATAAGATCTGAGACTAACTGTTCTATGGCGGGCAGTTTGGTATGGCATCGAATGCTGCCCAAGGTCATTTGCTGGATGGGTCGAGCCATGCTTGGAATAACGGCATCTATAACGACACCAGCGCAACTCTTAGTCGCCTGAAGGAAACGACAGCTTGATAACAGACAATTGAATGGGTTCAATCATTGTTTACTACACGAAGTAGAGGATCTAGGGGGCCAGCAAGTTTGTCCTGAGCATATACAGGTGGTTTTGTTTTCTACATTACCTATATTACTCTCAATGCGATTTGCTCCATACACGAAAACGCAGCTTGCAGATGCCACCCAGCGAGTGACTCTAGAGTGATCTAGGCTCAACGACTCCCAAAATTCTCTCATCTTGTTAGGGCAAGTTTCTGAAGAACTGTGAACAACGACGAACATCGGTTGTCAAAAAGTCCATAGATTCAATCAAGTCTTACTTCGGGACCAGAATACAAAAGGTAAACAAACTTCTTATACACACAGACATATTAATACCACCTCAATCTCTATCAAATACAACCGGACCGTGACTGCATCAGAATTCTGACCTTCGTTACCGCATCGATCACTACTACCACACTCTCAGCTCTTTCTCAACATGAAAAAGGAAACTCATCTCATCTCATCTCATCTTCATTATTCATTATTCATTATTTATTCGCTGCTGTTCTTTACATCTACATCCACATCTACATGCGCAGTCGGTTCTATCCTATCCTGCCATCATAATTCTGATTCTCATTCTCATTCTCATTCTCATTCTCATTCTCATTCTCATTGTCGTCTTCTATCTAATAATTACAATCTCAATTTCAACTTCACGCCGGATATAACGTATAATTTATTACTTATAACTTGTAATTTATAAGACGAAGTCACGAAGTCACAAAGTCATAAAGGAAATAAGCACCGAGGCAAACGACATCGACAATGACTTTGGCAATAACAACATGCGATGGAAACCGTTACAATAACAGTTGACTGGATATCAATATAAATAGTATCCAGCGAACAACGGGCCGTTTATGCTATGCTATACATACTGCTATACTTAGCAACTTACTGTAGTACTCATAGATATCGTGTGCATGTTTTCTTACTGTAATGATATGTGGATAGAGCGAACTAGGTAGTGCTGTTACTATTAATCTATGCTGCTAGAATCATTTGTTAATCTTGCAGTGCTTGATGAAGATTGATTCGTCCATTCATTCGCTTATTCATTCATTAATGATCTCAAATATCTCAAATATCTCAGATCCTTAGTAAGTGAGCTCTCTCTCTCTCTCTCTCTCTCTCTCAGGTATTAGACAATCAAAACATCAACATCAACATCGATATCATACAAGAGTTTTCCTACCTATACCATACTATACTTTCGATATATACTTTCTATACATCATACATCATAATGACATATATAATGCCAGTACTCCCACCGCTGTGCAACTTGCTAGGTGTTAATATTAATATTAATATTGATATACGTGCAACCATATTTACCGACTTGACACGTACTCGAACACCTATGACCTGGTATACCTATACACTATACTAACACCTTTCTCTTTCTTCTATTTTCTAGAATAACCGTAACTACCTATACCTACCTATACCTAGCTACTGGACCGGACTGTACTGGAGCAGGTGAAACGAAAAGTTAAAACGGTGTGGTGTGGTGTAGTTTCCCAATTCTTTCAAATTCAGATTCAGATATGAAAGAGAAAGAGCTACAGTATACTATACTATACTGCAATTCAGAAGGGAGAGAGAAAGAGAAAGAGTTACAGTATACTATACTATACTCAGTAGTATTTCAATTTCAATTTCAGAAAGAGAGCCAATACTCACTTACAACTCACTTACAAAAAGCGTGGTATATGCTCCTCATCTTATGTACAGTATACACATGGATATCTCACATCTCATTCATATACTGAATACTGAGTAGTATTCTATATAGCAAATATCAAACTCCATATATATACAAATATACATATACATATAAATCTCACCAAACAACAAGCAAATAGGACACATCACACAGCATACAGCACATAGCACACAGCAAGCAATGCAAACTATCAATTTTCTATTCATCTATTCATCAATTTAGCTACCTAGCCATGTACTCAAGTATATCAAATCAAAGAAAAGATGCGTATCTCCTTCTCCCTCACTCTCACTCTCACTGCAAGCAGTAAATAGCAAGCAAGTAGTAAAAAGCAAAATAAACCGTTCCGTTTAGTTACATCTGATATATATTGCTTGCACTCCAGGTACCAGTTTAAAGAAACCCTTTGTATTTATTGTATTTATTGTATGGTATGAATGGTATGATACAACCGTAATATCGCCTCGCCATAAACCCTCGAATCAAAAGCAGAAAACCTTTTTCCATACTCAAGTCCGCAAGTCTGCAAGTCCGCAAGCAAGTCCGCAAGCATATCATAGCATAGCATAGTCGCCGAAGTACCCACGCTCGAGACGCCTATGCATCAACACTCTGTAAAGTAAATAAACCCTATGTTTATGTAAATGTACGTAGACTACTAGCTACAAGTAATTTTCCCTCGACAAGTCAATATGATAGTTTTCCGGTACACATGCATCCATCATCCATCCATCATGCATTCATTCATCATTCATCATTCATCATTCATCCAAGCGAGCAAGCGAGCAAGCAAATTCATCACAGAAGCCAAGTACCTCACTCAACTCACTCAAGCCCACAAATAGTACTCTGTATCTCTCTCCTCGACCCTCTCATACTTGACGCCCTCAAACTCCGGCTTTGACCAACCTGCGACATCGCGCGCCATCATGTTGATATACGATTGATAGGCACCCAAACTCATCGGGACACGACAACCGGGACAATAGAAGTCTCGCTCGCCATCACCTCCCTCTTCACAAATATGATTTCGAGCAAAGAAGACCGGATCCTGTTTTACGAAGACGCCTTGACGGTAGGAGAATTCGCGAGCTTTGAATCGTGATTCGGTCATCCATTCGCCGTTGTTGATGGGTTGATGACGACGGCGTCGCTCCCAGTGATCTTCTTTGGAGAGGAGCGTGAAGCCGTCGAGATCATCGTAGCTGATGCGGGGATGACCGCGGATCTTGCGGAGAGTGGGGCGGGGGCCAATGGGTGCGTAGACGATCTTGAAGGTTTCGAGGTTCTTCAGCTTGAGATCGGAGGCTTTGCTGTTTTTGTCCCAGTCGCCCCAGATGAGATGGAGTTCGATGGGAGAATCGATGAGGGAACTGTCGATGGCGAGATGCTTGACGGCGGAGAGAGCGTGCAGTTGCTTGCTGTCGTTGTTGCCGAAGATGGCCTTGGTGGTGGTGAAATTGGCGGTGTATGGTGAGGCATCTTCCATGGAGGTAGTTGCTCGACGGATGTAGCAAGTGTCAACTTCGAGATCGAGATAGATGATAGAACCACAAGCGGAGTTTGGGAGAGACAGTTGCTTGAAAAGGGGCTGGAGCTCCTCACGAGCTTCTCCGCAAGTGGCGAGGAGAGCTGGAGCTGGGCTAAGCGAGACCAAACTCTCGGTGGGATGATCGTAGGTGATATGGACGATTCGAGGGTGAGTAGCAGCTAACTTCCAGATCTTGATGCGGAGTTCCTTGGGCAAGAATGGGAACAAGGTAAATCTTGTTAGGTTGGATGATTCAAGGAACATTCTTGGTAGTACTTCTGGTAATTGCCAGGTCAGTTGTTGCAGTCCCGGTGTTGGGGGTGGAGTGTCAACGATCTCAAACAAAGAGAGAGGGGTGGGTTCTCTGCTCATGGCAGCCATCACTGGTTCAGCAGTGAGTGGTGGTGTTGGTGGTTGCTTTCGCTAGTTATTTGTCAGAAATGTGTATAGTTTGTGGTGACATAGTAACAGTGAGAGCAACAAGACAAGACAAACTCAGCGTATAATTGAGACAATCACAGAATCACTTCTGGTATAATTGACAACCATTGACAATCTTTGTGAGGACTGGCTCATACTTTGCAAAGGTATATATCACCTGAGATTTGTCTGATAGCCGTTCAGAGAGAAAAGGAGAGAAAGAGATACAAGAGACTTACATTGGTCAATTTTTGGAGGTTTTGTAGAATCCCTCTTCCAATTGATTTTGTACCAAGTGAATGAAATATTTCACCAGTCATTGTAGGTTTGTGGATTTGTAAATTTGAAGATTTGTAGTGTTTGTAGCGTTACTGGCAGTTGTGATTCTTCAAGTTCTTGTTGTGGAAGAACTATATAAAAGGAATAGATAGATCGAACAAAGATTAATCCAACAAGAAGATCAAAAAGACATGTGAAATTTCCTTAAAGAGTTCAATTCACTTCTCGAGACAGCGCGTCTGAAAAAATCAGATCGTGTAGCCCATGTAGTATTGTTTTGTTATGACCAGTGATCATAACATGAAAGTGAATCTGATGGCTGGGTAACTTGGTTTCTATACTTGAGACGAGAGTCATCAAGGTGTGTATGTTCGGCCGTCCTTTTGTCGTGCCGTGTTATGAGGTTCTCGTAATTTCCCGAGAATAATGTTTGCTCAAAGATAGTGATGATGAAGCTTTATGACATGATTTTCCCAAGCAAAAAACAACCCAGAGGCAGCTCAGATCCCACGTTCTCAACTCTTGGGTATATCATAGGTCATAACTTTCATACATGATGGAACCATATGAGGTATTGCTACAGCAACAATGAGGACGGTAAATACCGTTTATGTATGGCCTTCATCTTTAAATGACAAAACTTATGATGAGCTACCAAAGCTGAAGTTGGCCAAAAGTTCATATTCTGAAGAATCTTGCCATGGTCCTTGAAACAATCCCAGTGATATAGTTTGGCATGAATCTCAGAGAAAATGATGCTTGACTGATGAAACAAGTTCATTGAGGAGAGCAAGCATACAAATGTAAGAAATTGCTCAGAGTCCAGCAAATACCAAATACTATAAAATGAAGATGCATGGTCCCGTTGTCTGAATGACATGACTTCCAGTTGTGCATCTATCGATGTATTGCAGAATGAAGAAGAGCAAACATGAAGATGAACTTGAGGCAAAGACTACCTTGATCTCCAAGTATTCATTCCTATGCTTAAGATTACATCATGATGCACAAGAACTTGCGTATATGTTGAAAGACCAAAGTCGAACTCTCTCATGTCACCAGATATGAATCCTTATACCTTATAGGAGTCCCTGAGAAGAGGGGTAGAGGTCACTCTTATACTGATTTACGGACCGAGGAAACCTCCGAATGGGTAGCAAGTCCCTCTATTCTAGCTATTCACCGGTGGGTGAGGAGGACCTCGGTGATGCTAGAATTCCTCTCACATGAAAATGATAATGCCATAGAAAACGATTTCCTAAAAGGTGAGGGGCCTTCAGAACTAAGGGATTATAATAAAGGGAATTCCCTAATACTTTGTTTGTAAGATCTTACTTTGTACTTTGTACGAACTCGAAATTCCTGTTGAAAATTGTGTTTGTGTCGAAGTATCGTGACATTCATTTCATTTCAATTTCATTTCATTTCATAAGCCTAAGGTGAAATGACAAGGACATGCATGGGTCATTCATCCCCAAATTGAACTCGAAACCCATCGTCATTCCACCTAACTCATAAGTAAAAATATCAAATCATGCCCAACATTTACATTTCTTAAGACTTCAATATCCTTCCATTAGGGGCGCATTCAATATTCATTTCACATACATTAATACCAATCACTTGGATATGCGATGGCGGCCCAACGTCGAGGAGAAGACCCTTTGAACATCGACTTAAGCAGCACCAATGCCGATCTCCCCCCTCTCGCTGCGCTATTTATGATATATTTCGATATCAAGGCCGGCTATACAATTGGATGGAAGCGTTCCTTATCGGGCATTGAACTAGATGGAGTGGTCGAATATAGGAGTCTGCCGTCGGGTTTACATACTGTGGAAGAGGATTTGATATACTTCACCCACGATAATTATGCAGGGCTCAGCGCATTCGTCAACGCGCCGGCAGATGAGGAATCGAGGAACGCGAGGATGATTGCCGTTGGTATTATGGTACCTCTGAGCTATGGAAGGTTAGGTAGGAGTTGGAAGCATGCGGAAAGCTTGAAAGATATCGCAAGGTATGAATGACTATGGTACCATTGGTGAGATGATTTCTGATATCTTCTACAGTGAGCTTATCCTAGATGAGAGCAAAACTGAGCGCCTCGAAGAATATTGGGAGAACCACAAGGGCGAAGATCTTGAAATACACAAGGAAACCGACTCATTGTTAGATTCTCCTTTGAGCGCGAGATTCAAAACCCGGAATACACCACCGAAATCGAAAGGTCACAATAGGAATCGCTCAGCTTCTGATGGTACAGCTTTAATACCCCCTGGGCACACACTATCGGCATATCATCCTGCGTGGAGCTTACCACGACTATTGGAAACGTTTGGTCCTATGATATTCCCTATACATCGAGCTGCACTTCTACGGAAGAGGATCTTGATTAGTGCTCATGCGCCTGTACATGAAACTTGCGATTTTGGTTTGGAAACCATCAATGCGCTTCTTATATTAATTAACTAACGTCAAATAGTATATGACATATCTATACTCTCAAATATTCCTCTCGCTGTCAGCGACCTCTTAGAGCCCACCGCCCCACCCCAAAGACTCCGTCCCCTCTTCTCCATCGGCGTCCACGATATCCCCCTCCTAGAAGATGACCTCAAAGCTTCAAAACGGAGAGCCACCTCGGAAGACACTATCCCAAACGATGGGCGCGATGAACCCGGTTGTGGCTGGATAGCCTGCACAACCGATAGCATTCTCGGCACCAAAACCCGTCTCTACGACGTGCTCATAACTATGCCACTACCCCGCTCCTCCACCTCCACCGCAAAAGTATGGCCCAAAATCGAAAGCTCCGCCGACGGCATCAAGATAAAAGCCACCCAACGCGATCTTCGCCGCTACAAAGCCCTCCGCTGGGGACTTTCACGATCCCCTCACCCCGCCTCCCCCGACATCAGCACCTGTCGCCGGGCATCCTCCTCATCCTACCTCGAGCAATTCCCATCCCCCATCGACCTCAGCTCCTCCACCTCCACTCTCCCCCCACGAGACGACCCCATGCTCGATATCCCCGACACCGACTCCGTCATTGAACCCGTATCCTGGTCTGCGCTCGCCTATTCTGGTTTCATATGGTGGGCCTCGGCCGGCGAACAACGTTTGCATTCGCAAGAAGAATGGGAAGCGGATTCTGCACTCCTATCATCACCTCACACACCTAATCCGTTTCCAATCCCCCTTCTCTTCAATTCAAATGGTTTCCCCACCGCAGAAACGGAAACGGGAATCATCGCTTACTTCCACCGTCTCACATCGCAAATCCTAACAACCCTGAGCGATATCATCGACGCATCCGATTCAGACGATGAACGCGAAGACGACCAAATACATAATCATAATCATAGCCTATCCCATAATTCCTCATCCTCACTACTAAACAGAGGAAGTGCTAGCAATGGAGGAGGAGGAGACGCCGCAAACGAAGAAGCAGAAGAAGGAATGAGCTGTATATACATCAGTAGTTCAGACATGGAACGCATGGGACTAGATGTGTGGAGCGCAAGCGATTATGTTTTTGTAGAAGAGGTGGTACGAGAGTATTTTGGGAGGAAAGCGAAGATTGAAGGGAGGGGCGTGGATGTTTGTGGAGTGAGGATTTGTTAGATGAGGGTGGGTGAGTGGGTGAAGGCGAGTGGGTGAGTTGGAATGATCGGTATACGTATCGGACTCGTAGGGTTATAGTGCTACAGTAGTTTCTTCCTTTTCTTTCTTTCTTTTATTTTCTTTTTTCTGTTCATCTCTCTTCTCGTATCTCATTATATAGGAAAGAAGAAAGCAAGGACCTGAAATAGGAGTAGGTGTAAAAGTAGGAATTCCTCGTCAATTTAAGATTTACAGCGCGCATGCGTAGGAGTTTGGAGTTTGGAGTTTAGAGTCGGAGCGAGAAGAAATGGAAAGGAAGAAATGGAAGGAAAGGGAAGGGGAGGGCGATAAAAAGTAAGGACAGCATTGTGTCTAAGCAAACATATTAGTTAATATCAAATTTTCCATTTTCAGCTCTCTCATCGCGCTCTACAGTATTTCAGGAAAACAATATCATTCCATTCCATCATATTGTCTGTCCTCTTCCTTCTAGAAGCTTTTCCCTCCGGGCAAAACTACAACCAAAACGCAAAAGAACACAAAGGTATGTATTCGTAAAGTTATTGTGTATAAGAAAGACGCCACGCCAAATGCTCATCACGCCTATTTGTACATACAATACACATATAATTTATCCCCCAAAAGAAATCCCAAACACCCCTACAAAAGTAATCCGCATGGCATAAAAACATTGGATGTTCAGAAGTGATGATGCTCATTATTCCCCATCGGTATCGGTATCGGTATCAGTTTCACTTTGTTCATCAACTTCTTCATCCGTGTTACTATCCTCATCGCTGGATTCTTGTACTGTTTGCTTCTTCTTCTTTGGTGGGGCGCCGGTCTTCATGGCTTGCATTTGTCCTGCTAGGGAATCTATTATGAAGTTGTTAGCACGTGTCCAATGAAAAGGCGATAAGTATGGTGGATCATACCTTCATCTGGCTCACTGATATCGTCCTCCGCATCAATGTCCAATGCCTTACTGGCATCCTCTACGACTAAAGTGACTTCATGTTTGGCATCGAATCCAACATAAGAATCACAGATGAGATGCATAACAAAGGTATAGCTTCCAGGGTGTGGAGGAGCCTGGAATTGTACCTTGAGTGTTTGCACATTGAAAGTAGGCTTTCCGCTTTCATCAAATATGGGCTTGTCGAAGGCGAAGAATGTGAAAGGTGGTACAGCAATCTTGCCTTGCTTGCTGTCGGTGAGAAAGACGTGCCACTTAGGCGAGTGGTCACGTGTGAAGTAGGGGGCAAATGCAAGAGGTGGAAAAACCTGCTTCTCTTCAGCCTTTTCGCCCTTAGCAGACTTCTTCGCACGACCAAGAATAGCATCGAGGTCTTCCTCATCTGGATCGATGTCGTCAAGGTCAAGTTCGTTAACCTCAGGGACGTTCTCACTCCCAGGAGGAATAAATCGTCCTTTCACAACGAAAGACACCAATGAGTTAGGAGTGGTGAACTTTTCGCCTGTAACTTTGAAGAACGCCTTCTCAACCTGTAAACGAGGAAGTTGTTTCACGGTAGACATGGCGGCTTGGTATTCGGTTTCCGTGAGAAGTCCCTTTCCAACACTCAACCTCTTTCGGTATGCGTCTGGTAGTGCCATATATTGTTGAAGAGTCAAGTGAGTTTTTGAGTCACCCTCAATGGCCTTGGCAATAGATGGAGTAATATGTGGTAATTGAAGAAGGGGCGAGGCATTTGGTGGTAGAGATTGAATGATATTTTGAGCAGTCGCGTATGATGCTAGAATAGGGCCTGTGGTTGCGAAAGCGAGAGTGATGGCTTTAAATGCGTCGTTGAGGTCATGAGCGATAGGAGCAACTTCGTATTTCGCCTTGTTGAGCTCTGAGTCTTCGAGTTCAATTCGGCCCAAGTATGCCCACAGTAATGCAAGAGCTTTTCGTCGCGCACCGCCATCTAATTCCTCTAGCTTTGTTTTGTCCTTGATTGACAACCCAGCGGCGGCAGTGATTCCATCGCCATCTGCGAGAACTCTCGATTCCAGCTTGCCAAGTCCTGAATCAGCCTTGTGGCCCTTCAAAATTCGCTTGTATTCAACACCACTGCTTAAAGCGCCAACAATTCCGCCCTCTGTGATATTTTCTTCGTATTCTTGGAATAAGTTATTGGCACTTTCGATCAAAACGTACTCCTTCGACATGCGCTGGGCTCCATACCACCAGGTTCCGACAAGGTAAGGAAGTAAAACTCCCAAAAGAAGCGCATATACGAGTACGACATATTTTCCGTTTCCTTCAGAGATAATCCAGGTAGGCAGAGCAATTCCGATGCTAAAGCTCTGTTTGCCATCAGGATGTCCAAATTGGATATAGTTATTTCGGATGTCCTCGTCAGTGAGCGCCTTGTATGCTTTTGTAAGCTCCACGAAATAATCGCTCAATGACTCGGTTGTTTGGTTCTTCGCAGGGTCAGGCCTGATCTTGTCGGGATGGAATTTCAGCGAAAGTCGTTTATAGTGCGATTTGATTTCTTTTTCAGTAGCGGACTGTTTTAAAGATTAGCCAATTGTTCGGAAAGCGTGTTACGAGCCTGGAGTTACCTCTTTGATATCCAATATATCATATGGATTCCATATTTTTGCTATAGTTCTGGCTGTGATTTGAAATTGGTACGCCATAGCAGCGACTATCGCCCACCCCACAATCATGGCGATCATTCGTTTTAATTTTCGCTGCTTCCTCCTCTGCGACCTCCTTTGACTATCGATCAAATCCGCATGTTCTGGCTTGTAATCTGTCTTTATTCGCGGTGCCGTGGCACCTGGGTCTGATCTGGGTCTTAAGACATCCCAAGTCAAAGCTGTAGATACAATTCCAACAAGGGTACCGACGAAGATGGGAAAAAATTGCCCCTACATAAAGTTAGCTAATCCTTTGGCTATATGCGCAGATGTTGTATACCTGTTCATCGTAGGAATAATCTGTTCCACTCATCTTGAAGTTATGTTTTGGTCTTCAAGACCTTTCTGTTCAAGGTGTACTTGCGCGCAAGTTTAGAAATCAAGCCAACCTTTTTCCTCAAAAGGTTATTGGTGAAAATAAAGCGCAGGACATGAAATGAATTATAAAGGTGGTTGTTCTTCGACAAATTCGACGAAGATGTGTTATCATATATATGTTTTGACATTTTTGGGCCCGCCTCTGCTTTTGAGATGTGGCTCGAATTTCGGGTCATCACCGACAAATGAAAGCTAGCTACTTGGGGTATAGCTCAGAGCTTCCCACCAATTGAAACCCTTCAACAGCAACTCTAAATTCATTGTGAGATCTGGACAGAGAAAGAAACAGAAGAAAGGAATTTTATAGAGGATTTAGTTTATTCCAAATTTAGTGCTCAATATATGAGCTACATAAGTTCATTTTGTATAGGTAGATTGAATTTCAGTAAATGCTGTTTCTATCCCACTCATCTTGGTATAATCATTATAGAAACAACGGTATCGCTATAGATGCCCAGCACTCCAGCATAGTATAGTCTATATAAAATCCATCTCGTAGCGCCTAGCAATGCAAATTAACATTATTCCCCACGCAAGTACCTGTCTTGATATCTTGTGGTCTATCCTTTCTTAGCAAAAACAAAACCGACTTTACATCGTTCATCCTCTAGTACAGTGAGTAAAACCTCGTCATCTAAAGACTTTCTTACCTCATCTACCTCGGTAGAAGTCAAGTTCGTCGATTCATCGATGAATATGGAAGTATCGATGTGTCTGTATTCCATTAACGCTTGCATCTTCTTACCCTTCTTGGGCAGTTTTCCTTTGGCGGCTCCTAAAGCAATCTTTTGCTGAGCCTCCACGTTCACTTTGGTGGCTGGTACCAATGAACATGCAGGATTGATAGGAAATTCATCGTCATGATCATCTTCCTCTTCGCTGGCGTTGATTTCTTTATCAATATCCGGCATATCAGAAGTTGTTGCAATTAGCTCGTTGCGACCTGAGCCTCCACAATCGCAACCGAGGAGCTCGTGAGTTTGGCATTGTGCATTTACATCCAGCCTAAAGAGATCTCGCAACTCATCGGCCGAGAAACTCGCTTCATTCTTTTTACCGTCCATAACACTATCAGCGAGTCCCATCTTGGTAACCTGTCGTTGATATATCTTTTCATCCATGCCTCCTGACATCAAAAGTCTATATATCTTGACTGGAAGTTTCTGGCCGTCTCGATGAATTCGTGCCATGGCTTGAAGATCAGTCGCAGGATTCCAGTCAACGTCGAACAATACAAGACGCGATGCTCCGATCAAGTTTATACCAGCACCGCCGGATTTAGCCGAAAGGAGGAATGCAAAATATTTAGATGCAGGTGTCTTATTGAACGTGTTTACCAGATCCTGTCGTTTTGCTTGAGGAGTGCTACCATCGAGGCGCAGGAAGGGTAGGTTCAATGATGAAAGATGAGACATTAGCAGGTCGAGAGTAGAAGTATAGTTCGAGACAAGAACTATCTTTTCACTAGTTGTAGTGGAAAGCTTCATCAGCATACGATTCAAAACTCTAAATTTACTGCTTGCAACAACGGGGTGCTTCTTAAGGATCTCGGGAGGGATGCTTTCCAGAAGCTGGGCAACGTTTGAATTGCTAGGAGCGTCCGCATCGGTTTTCCTGACCAGTAGACTTGGGGCGTTACAGACTTTCTTGAGCATAGTGATAAGCTGTAGAGATGCTTCTGAGCTGCCAAGAACTCTGCCGAAAACCGGAGAGGCAAGAACATGCTGATAAACCTCAGCCTGAACCTGCGTAGGTTTACAAAATAAGACATATTCTGTCTTTGGCTTCAAGTATTTGGCAAGTATGCTAGCGTTGCGACGTAAAATGAACAATTTTGTCAACCCAGCCAGTTCTTCCTCCCGTGCCGTTCCCTTCTCAATGTCACTCTCTGTGGCGCCTGGTTGTCTGCTTTTCAAGATTGGTCCTTCGAAGCACTTTTTGAAAGTGTTGTACCCGTTGAGAAGGCCGGGATTTACAAAATCCACCATAGTGAAGAACTCCGATAAGTCATTTTGGATGGGTGTTCCAGATAAGATGACTCGCCTCTCGGTATTTAAACTTCGGATTGCCTGCGCCGATTTGTTCGCAGCTGTCTTTAGGCGATGTCCTTCATCGGCCACAACTATGTCTATTCCACCTCCCTTCTTCAACTCATCTTGTACTGTGCGTAGCTTTTCGTATCCAATGATCATAACACTATAACTCTTGCCATGAGTAAAATCAGTGAGTCGAATATTTTTGGAGCCATCTGCCACAAATACACCCACTCTCTCATTCCCGAGCCATTTGTTAAATTCTGCTTTCCAATTAGCAATAAGAGTAACAGGACAGACAATTAAGGCCTTCTTTATCACACCTCCCTCACTTGTATGCTCCGGATTCTGCTTCAATAGTGTCCATAAGAGCGCGATAGTCTGAAGTGTCTTTCCCAGACCCATCTCATCGGCCAAGATTGCACCCTGCCCATTGAAAGCACGGTAGCCCATAACGCACTCATACAAAAATTTGACACCCTCCTTTTGGTGATCACGTAAATGTCGACTCAGAAAGGGATCCACGACAACATCCATAATTTGCTTGCCTTTCGCAAGGTACTTAGGATCAGGGCGTTGCATGACAATCGCACCTGGCGCAGAAGGATCATGACGGGGAGTTGGAGCACCGTTCTTGTTTTGTGGCATGACAGTTGTTGCAAGGAGAGGATTCTTGAACTGAGACTTGATTGCATTGCTTTTCGGAGCAGATGCATAAAAGCTCTTAGCCGGGATCGCTGAACCTAGATCACTGTCCTTCCTCTTTCCAAGTGTGCTCGTGGAGTTGCTTGTCGATATACCTGATGAAATTGTACGAGGCGAGGGTCGTGTGACTGGACTGCTACTGCTGTCTGGCATAGAAGATTTGCTACCGTTATTTAGAAAGGGTCGGCCGGCGAGAAAGTCTGCTTTCGAAATGGTGGCATCAATCTCAATATCTTTCCCTCCGATGCTTAATGTGCTACCGGGTAGGAGGGGTTCGTTATACATGCAGCGCCCCATCTCCCTGCCATCGATATTCTGAAGCCGAGCATAACCGCCAGTCACTGCTAGTACACCGTCCCCGTCCCAAGTCTTGTGCTTTTTCATTGTGAATTTGCGCCTATGCCCCTCATTAATACAGTCTTCCAGGCTGGGACAAGTGCGAAATATTACCATAATACCAAAAAGTACCCTTCATAACCAGATGGACTTTCAGTAGAATCAGAAGCTCGATTTGCTTCAACTGGGTTCTTCACAACAAGCAAAGGTGTTCGAGGCGCAGATGCGGCCGAGGACGTGATTGGCGCTCTAATCTTTGGAGCCTCTTCGACATCGTGAATCAGAAGCCGCCTCTTCTTTGCCACCGGTTTGGTCAAGATTTCCTCCTCAGAATCCGATATGACCTGAACATCTGAGAAATCATCTACTGGCTTGGCAGATTTTGGCACACTTTTCAAAAGTGGAGGCCGAAATGGTTTGAACATTTTATCTTAACATTTGTTGTCAAAGTGCAAATACAGAGACGCGGTGGAGATAAGGTTCGCGTCTTGTTGCGTCTAATCCGGACCACGATCACACGTGATATCAATTTACTTGATAACTTCACTTCATCCCGCAGTTCAACCATCGATTGTTCTCAGGATAGATGACGGCAAGGAGATGCAGTATTTTATCAGTTGTAATTATTCATTCATTAATCCTCAACTAAACTATTTGAGCGCCTTGATAACTCCGGTATTTTTGTTCAGGTATATAACTACATTTATTGAAGCATGGAGTCCAAACTCTCTCCCAATACCCCTTCGATCTTTACAATCCAGCGGTTTGTCTCCTTCTCTACCACATCATCGTCATCTTCCTGGAGCTCGCTGATAAATGGCAACATTTCTGGCAACATAGCCAACCATTCCTCTCCCAACTTATCCGTCAATGCTTGCTCACACTTGACGGCTGCAAGTCTAACACTGGACACCTCAGAACGGAGATGTTTTAGGATCATCCCGTTGAGCTCTTTATGATGATCCGAAGAATCGGCGGCGGCAGCAAGTTCGATGATAGCAGGTACAAGTTCTTCAACCAAAGGCAATCCCGAGGCGTTCTTGAATTGATCACACAGGACAGGAGCAATTGCCTTGAAATGGGCTGGAGATTGCCAGAAGTCATCTTGATCATGCTCGAAACATGGTACCAAGGCTCTAAGAACTCTAGACCATAATTCCCTTGACGCGTCGTTCTTGATATCAGTCTCGTTCAAGATCTGTACGGCATTATCAAGCAAGTACGTGGCATAACTTGTGACGATCGACTTGAGGTTGGCGAAGAAAACGGACATGAAGGCGTAAACGCTTTGCAATCGCAAATTTCTGCCAGACTTATCTTTCTTAGGCAATGCTGATGACGCCCATTCAACAAGGTTGGCAAATATGGGTCTAAATGTCGAGTCATTGAATTTGTAGATCATCTCCAAAGCCACTTCGTTCACCTGTCCTTCTATAGTCGAAATAGTCTCATCGTCTTGATCGTAGTTCTCTGTGTTAGACAGATGTCTTCGAAGATCGAAAGCATTTTGAAATATTTTTGCAAGTATAGTGGAATGCTTGGAGACAACGCTCTTTGGGTGAGCCTTGATCGACATGCTGAGCATTTCAAGCTGCTCACGGATTGCCTATTCAAATTAGCGAGGGATTTATGAAGTCTTTTAGAAATAGAGTAACTTACCCAAGTTCCTGCCGTTACTGCTTGCGCCCAGTTTTGCTCCAAGGCTACGAACATACTCTTCGCATCCACACGTTTGGCAGCCAAGTGAAGACAGTTCTCTCTGATTTCGTCTGCCTCATCTTCGAGCTCAGCCTCTGCTGAAGTGTTGGAGATTGAGAGAAGGGTATCGAGGTATCCGCCCGTGATCATGTAGGGTAGATGCTGTACGAGGGCGCTTATGAAAGTGTATCCAGCGTTGTGAAGTTTCTGAGCCTCAACAGTATCTTCAATGCTTGATTTGATGTATTCCAAAGCCTTTGGGATGGCAACAGGTAAGATGGAGACTATCCCTTCTCTCAAAATCTCTACCAAAGAAGCTAAGGAGAGGAGAGCCATTATTTGCAAACCAGCATCGCTCTGGCCCAAGCAATGGGTACTTGCGATAGTTTCCGCTGCAGCAGATACCGCTTCGAGATCTTTCTTGCCATATTTCTCCGATATTTTCTCGACGCAAGCCACAGCAGTACGCTTATAAGGCATGTCAGTAGACTCTCGAATGATTGAGGTAAGCTGGGGCAGAAATCCAAGCATTGCCACCCTTGAAACAGCATCCGAGGAGCTTTCTTGGTCGATACGAACTTGCAAAGAGCGCAAAATCTTTCGTCGCAAGTCCTCGTTGGGTCTATCCAGAAGTCCTTCAACTGATTTGACAAATTCGCTTGTGGAAAGGAGACCCAAAATGCTTTCTAGAATGTCCCCACAAGCATTGTGCATTGTCTTCTTGTCTTTCAGAAGTTCTGTCAAGACCAACAAATTCTCCAGTAGTGTAGAATAGAGTTCGCGAATTCTAGCAGCATCCATGTCGTCTCGGTCAAGAAGTTTCGCAGTTTGTGTTATCAATCGTCGTTGCGAGAGAATATGTGGAAGAAGCATAAGTTCATTGAGAGCTGCGCGTTGTGGATCAATATTGTCATGGGCTCCAAGTAAAATTAGCGAAAATGTTGGCTTAGGTTTCAACAGATCATCAACCAATCCTAGGTATTTGATTGCAGATTGGAGCTGAACCTCAACACTAAATGTATTTGTCAATTCCGCGGCGAAAGACTTTATATCATCGTTGACGCCATATTTGTCCACCAACATTATTAATAATGCGAATAGGAAATCTTCCGCTCCTAGGGTCTGAACCAAGGAGATGAACAGTCCCTTTCGACGGTGGACAGGAATATGCTCATAAGCTGCAACAAAACTCAAGAGTAACTCGGCAGCTCCTGTAACAGGGTTGCCTTCGTCCTTTCGAAGCGAGGTGATAAGAGGTGGAATGACCTCACGGATGGTTTGACTAATGACGTGTGCAGAATAATCATCATTTTGTCTCAATACCGAGCTTCCCATGAAGGTAAAGATGGGCATCACACTATGCAGTACAACTTCTGGGGCAATATCCGCAAGTGCAGCAATCATCAGCAAAGCACCGTTCTGTACCTGTGGACTGGCTGTTTTCTGAACACAATCAACAAGTAGATCGGCTCGAATATCAGAGTGATCTAATTTCATGCCCGGATTTGCCTTGTATGCCTTCAAAATTGCCAATAAGCTATTCAGGACTAGATCTTGGAGATATGCAAGCTCGGATGACACTTGAACTTTGAAGTGTTGAAGTTCTGCCAAGGTGTTGAAAAGGCCCTTAAGAAGTTCGGGATGACTTCCTGGATCAGAGCTATCGATGAGCTGCAACACAAATGTGACCTGGCGTATAGCAGCGGCGAGTTGTTTTGGATCCTGCAAAGGAGTTCTAGCAACTTCGCCGTGGCTAGTTCGCCGCCTTTTGCTAGCAGGCGGAGCATCTGTAAGCTTTGATGTCGTAGGCAACTGATCAAGGAAGGAAAGGAGAATTTCGGTTGAAAGAGGGGCGTTTCGCAATAGTTCCAAAGCTTCTTCCGTCGATTTGGCCTTGTGGCTAGATTCCTCAGAAGAAGATTGGGAAGCATTCATCAGCATCTGAGCTGTTTGTAATTGCACGTCGCCTTTCAAAGATGTCCACATTTCGCGGAGTCTTGAAAATATGGCCTCAAGAAGAGTAGGGCGATCCGAAGCGATTTCGCCATGCACAATCTGAGTGAAGAATTGCAAGCCGTCTTTATCATTGGCTACAACGGTTGCAGCTGCTTGTTTATCAAAATCCGACATGGCAAATTGTTCATGTTTCGATTGTTGCAATGCCACCTCTGGGCTTAAAGACGCCCATTGCTGAAGTGCCGGTAGCAAAACTTTGGTTCTGGTAGTGCTAGCGATGCTACGAACGTGGTTAAGAATAACCAGAAGCCTCAGCTTAACCAAGTATATAGGGGTATGAATGGCATGGCTGGACAGGAATGACAGAATCGAGGCTCGGGCAGTTTGAGTCAACCGTACCTCATTCTTCTTATTAGAGTCTGTAGAGGCACGAGGACTATTCAAAGATTGTTCCAATACGGTCTCGATATGGGTTTTGTCAAGAATACATTCTTCCAACGCCGGAACCAAAACCTCTTGTAGAAGACGACCTGCGATATCGATTGAGAGCCATTTTGTGTCTTGGGTCTCCTCACCTGAACCATAGATATCATCAAATCCCCATTGTCGCCGAGAGTTTAATGCTTTCTTTGTAACTGCACCGGCCGGATAGAATGCTTCGATTTTGAGGATAAGCTCTGCGGCAGCACGACGAACCTTCGGTGCAGTGTCAGCAAGCGCTGAAATTGCGTAAGGTATGATTCCTTGAATGTCTACGCTCGGACTGTCATTTCCTGATAGGTATCGAGCTACCATGTGAAGTGCCGAAACTCGAGCCATGACCGGATATGGGCCACACCAAGTTTTGATGTAAAATGTAAGATACAAAGTCTTTTCCAGGGCACTAGGGCGGTCTAAGATGGGTAGCTCGTCGAATTCGTCTAAATCGCTAGTATTCACTGCGGCAACCAAAAATGCCTGACACAAATCCTGGTAGATATGAGAAGCACTATGCGCCAAGAACGAGGTCTCGTTGGCATTGCTTTGCGGAATTCGTTCAATTAATTGCCGGAAATTGGGTCGAGCGTCCGCTTTCGTGCCATCATCTCCCATGACTGCATCCTCATCCTCCGCCTTCGGTATCTCTATCAGTCTAATTGTAGTGGAGAGCTTCATTTCTAATTCATCCATATCGACCTCGGTTTCCTTCAGCGCACCTTGGATGACAGTTCCTACGTGGCCAGAAAGTTGTGTTAGCGCAACGAGGGATGATGCGAGATGTGCTCGAGTATTTTTCTCGGAATCTGTAGCATCATCGACACGATGCGCCACCAGAAGTAGGTGCTTCACAACCACGGAGGTTTGCGCATCGCTGAGAAGGCCATGCTCCACAATCTTCTCGATTGTTGGAAGACCTTGAACCTCTCCACTTTTACTTATTCTATCAACAAGCGCGAGACACAATCCATTAGAAAGTCGGTCGATACGTCGTTCTCTTCCTAGTTCGATCAACTGGGTTGGAAGATCTTGAACTTTAAGTAACTCTTTGGTTACACGTCTTGTAATCTGTTTGGCGCCCCTATGTTGTGCCAAGATCGAGAGACAGACCAATCCAGGACGAACGGTTTCAGCAGTCCAACCGAGAACCAATGCTTCCATCATCGCGGTCAAAAGTTTATCGTCGAGTCCTCCTTTAGAAGCTAATATTGACAAGATCATGTAACATCCAACTCGCAAGTCTGGAACCTTTTGCATCGAAAGACCTTCGTTAAGAGTCGGTAATAATCGCAATATCACATCTTGTTCGTTTTGTTGCTGGACTCCTCTTCTTCCGGAACGGGCTTTGTCCAACATACCACTGATGGCTTCGGTCATGATACCAGCCCAGAAAGCTATAATAGCAGGGTAATGCTGCCGAGCTTTACATATACGCATAACATATGCATTGAGTGTCGAAGCAAATACGGTGCTATCAGTCGCAGCAGCGACGATTGGCCTCCTTTGGGGTTGAGTTAAGGATCGAATATAGGGTAATAGAAATTTATATTCTACCGGAACCGTCGAGGGCAGTATGGAAAGTAACGTAGTAAATATAGGAAGGGTATGGTATGGGAGGAAAGTCGTCAGAAGGAAGGATGTATTGTACTCGTGAATTCTAAACGAATTAGTTCCGAGAGCGTGCAAAAAGCCGGAGTCCGATAGGCATACCTGAATCTCCTCACCAACCATTCAACAGCTTTAATTGCTGGATTCAGTCGTAGACGGCCACCAACTAATCCCAGGAACGCTTCCAGCCGTTTATCCAACTCGGAAATCTCTGCCACCGGCAATTGTGTTCGATCCACTGCCTGACTTTGCTCGCTGAAGATCGACTTTTGAAATTCGAGGAACCGACCATCGAGTAGACATAGTTCTTGAAATCCTTCATGGCATAATGTGTAGAGAGTGTCGAAACTTTGTGATGCCGCAACTCTGGGCTCAAAAATCAAAGATTTTGAATGCGATGCCTTTTGCGCCTTGAGATTTAGAGAATTGGTCGAATTGGTCGCAATTTGCGCCAACTGCGATTTTAAAGAGGAAGCCATTGTGTAATTCTTGGTACTACAATGCTGTAAAATTATGGCATATCGAAGTCCAAGAATAGTATTTCTTAATGCTCACTCAAACTCTTATTAGAAATTTCAAGCTCTATCGTTATCGAAAAAATTAATTTGGTCGGATAAACCTTCGGCCGGACAATAATGCTGCTTTAAGGTCAAAGGCCGAAGCTTACGAAGTACAGCAAACTGATATCATACAGAATAAAGCATTCGAGATACTTTTATCTTTCAACAGGAGGGAGATATGTTGTCAAGTTCATTGGTGACTATATCATAAACTAAAGTTCTGCTGGTGACAATGACAGAAGCAAATCCTGCTGTTCCTAAGTTCGCATCTTTCCGGTCTAATAAGCCCTCTAGCATAGTTGTCGACCTCAAACAGGAGGATGAACACAAACTAACGACAAGAGGCAAACAACATCTCCAGGATGAAGATCGTCCAAAGCTTCATCGTCGACGCCACAGATCCAGAAGTAGAGAGAAATACAGATCTAGGAGCAAGGAAACTTCACATACACGTGACTCGCGCCACAGATCTAGGAGTCGAGAGAAGCACAGAACTACGGAGAAGGAAAATGGTGAAAGATATGGCTCACGTCGTAGATCTCGGAGTAGAGATAGTCGCCGGTCTGATCATCGATCTATGAATAAAGATCAAATTCAAAGAAACTCGAAAGATGATGCAATAAAACATCAATCAGAGATACCCGCGGCTGAGGAAGTTTCAGACATCTATGTGATTGACAGAAAAGGAGATGAGAATAATTTGGTGTATGGAAGCAACCACCGCTACAGTGTTCCACCTTTTCATCGAATTGGAGCAGGCCGTGTCCTAGGTGCACCTCGAGACACAAAAATTGACAGAGAATATGGAGATGATAAGGGTATTGTGCTTATCAATTTGAGAGAATTCAGATCAAATAATCGGGAGAAGTACATTTTATCTAAAGTGGAGAGAGATAGACCTCGCCTCTTGAAGATTCGCCCAGAAGTTCTGGTCGAGGAGTCTTTCTTACACGGTGAAGATTTTGTTCCACTTCAGATTAACAGAGGCCAAAAACGAAAAAGAGCAAATCGAGAATCAGGCTCAAGTTCCAATTCTGAGGATGATGATACCCATTACCGTTCAATACAGGGGAAAGCAAAAATATCCAATCAGCCCCAGGATGACGCTTTTCAGTATGCTTCGGATAGCGATTCGTCAGGATCTGACGCTGGTCGAACTATGAGACTTGAATCTTCGATCAAACAAAAGAACGTAGAGCTCTCCAGCCAAATAGAGCAGGCCCCAGGTGATGTACATGCGTGGTTTGCTTTAATTGAGCATCAAGATACGCTTTTAAAAGCAGGGGATGACCATCGCCGCATCACTAATGCAGAAATCAGGAGTACGGCAGATATCAAAATCCACATGTATGAAAAGGCTCTAGATAAGGTACAGAACTCGAAGGACCGCGACAGGCTACTGCTGGGTCTAATGGCAGAGGGTGCAAAGATATGGGAAGTCAAAGTCCAGGCGGAGCGGTGGGCACAGATTGCCAAAGACAACATCGATAGTCTCGTCTTGTGGAAAAATTACTTAGATTTCAGGCAAAACAACTTTTCATCATTCAGATATGAGGATGTTCGTGAAGTATTTCTCGGTAGGATTCGTTCTTTGAAAGGTAGTATCAGCGCCGCACCTGGATGGGCTCAGAGCGACAACGGCCCATCTAGACCATATGTGGAATCACTTTACCAACAGCTTCTTTATGTTGTTCTTAGAGCCACTCTTTTCATCCGTCAATCGGGTTTTACAGAGCTAGCAGTGGCAATCTGGCAGGGTGTCATGGAAATGAATTTCCAAGGACCAGAATCTATACATACCGAATACGAGACTTCTACACTGACAGAAAACGGAATACTCGAATTGTTCGGAGAGTTTTGGGAGGCAGAAGTCCCACGGATTGGGGAGCTATGTTCTCTGGGTTGGCAAAATTTTACAGAAACTGGCGATGATTCAACAATCCCGGATGCCCAGACTGATGAATCAGAGATGTCACTTAGTGGCCAAGACCTCTTCAAAAGTTGGGTCATCGCAGAATCTTCTCGCATAAAGGTTTCGAGGATTCCTGCAAGAACGATGGATGATACTGTGGAAGATGACCCTTATAGAGTTATTCTGTTCACCGATATCGAGAACTTTCTAATACTATTGCCAAAATCTGCTGCATCCCTACGAAGATCCCTTTTGAATGCATTTTTGATATTCTGTCATCTGCCGTCTATGCCTAGTCAGGACTACGAGACAAGTTTGGATTGGATCTGTGATCCTTGCTTGTACAATGAGATGCTTGACTACGATTCGGAATGGATCAAAGAGAAGTACTTTAGAAACCCTACTGATGACTTGATCGACGGTGGAGAATCCAAAGCATCATCAATCTTCACAACTTCTACGATAAACTTCGCAATGGCGCCAGAATCAATGTTCAGCGACAATTGGTTTAGCAGCTTCAGACCATGGCGAGAATTATACGGCAGCGAGGACAATGGGCCTATTCCTTATGCTTGGGTTCGCAACACTTTGAAGCAACTCACACAAGCATATCCAATAGTCGACTTTGCAGAATACTACCTAGCATTTGAATGGATCAACGAACCCGGTACCATCAAAAAAGTTGCCAAAACTCTTCTCAAACAGCATTCCTCCAATCTCAAACTTTACAACGCATATGCCATGATCGAATGGTCAAAGGATAACCAGGAAATTTCAAATGGAATCTACAAAGCCGCTTTAGGAATGAGCAAATCCACGTCTACCTCGCCCGAGACCAACGATAGCAAAGATTCGATCCACCTCTGGAAAAGTCTAATCTGGGCTTATCTCTCAGCCGGATCCAAAGAAACAGCACTATCACATCTTATTTCAATCCCACACGGTGCCCCCATTCCCATCGAGCTAACTCCCACAACCCTTCTCAAAGCCCAACAACATCTCTCCTCAGCCCGCGACCATCTCATCTATACAAACCATCCTACATACGCAGTCATATACACCGAAATTCTCGCCCTCCTCAAATACCTAACCACTACCTCCACCACAGCCCCCCAGTCACCTCAACAAGGAAACATAACCTCTGCCCTCGAAATCCTCACTACCTTCTCCACACAACTCTCTTCCCGCACAAACTCAGGTTCCAAATCAAACTATCCACAAACTCTCCTCCACCAATCCACAGCCCGTCTTCTACACCACCACGCAAAATTCGGTCCCTATCGTCCTCGAACCCTTCATGAGCAACTCACACATTCATTGAGATTATTCCCAAACAACACAATCTTCTTTTCTCTTCTTACTTCACCCGGTTTGGGTACGATGAGACTTATCAGTCCGGTTGCGATGAGTACGCTATTTGGGGAACTTTTGGATTCTTCTTCGACCCATCTTACTCCACTTCCCCTCTACCTCCACATCATCCACCACCATCTCCAACACCCACAATCCTCAACTCCAAATCTCAATATCATCAATTCAGCCTTCGTTTCTGCTCTCAATCTTAAGGGTTCCAAAACGGCTTCGAATTCTTCACTATCATCTTCTCCTTCGCTTTGGAAACTATATCTGTTATTCCTCGATATGTATCCGCAATTTCTTCCATCCTCATCCTCATCCTCATTCTCCAAAGCAATGAACCTCAGATCTAGCAATAAAAATTTTTCCAGAGAAATAAATACCCAAAGAGCAAAAGCAACAATAGAAATCTGGAAACAGGCAATATCAAAGGTTCCATGGTGTAAGGAGATTTATATGCAGGGTTTTGAGAGTATATGTAAAACGAGGGGAGAGGGAGAAGGCGAGGGAGAAGTAGAAGTAGCAGGGAAAAGAGATGAGGAGATCGATAGGCAATTAAAGAATATATGGAGGGTTATGGGGGAGAAAGAACTGAGGGTTCATGTTGATCTAGAGGGGGTTTGGGATGCGGAGGATTAGTTTTTAAGGTTAGGTGTGGAAAATAGGGGAGAAAAGGGGTCATCGAATTACAGAGTTACAAACAGTGAGATGTATTATGTATAGGGAGGGACGTAAAAGATTTCCCGTATTCATACGAGTAGTTTTGAGAATATAATTAATGTTGTCGGAAAACTCGATTTTATATATAATATATATATATATACTCGAGTATATATACATAAAGAGATTTCTAATATTATATTATATATATTCTTGTTCATTAAATTTAACATATAACGTTCGCACACAATACACAAACCAACCTCCGCCATCTTCTCCATGTATAGCCTATCTCCTCCGCCTCTCTCCTCTCTCCTCAAACTGTTCTTATTTTCTCACCTCACCTCATCTCTCATCTCCTCCCATCCCCATCCCAATCCCTCACCTCACCCCTCAACCCACAATCCCAATCCCTCAACCCTCAACCCTCAACCCAAAATCTCAAAAATTCAATCCCAAAATCCCCATCCAAAAATAACACAACACAACCCCAAAAGGCCAGAAAGAAAAGAGAGCAAAGCAAGAAAGAAGGAAAAAAAGAGAGGAAGAAAGAAAGGAGATATCATACTACCATCTTCAGCCTGACGGAACCCATGAAGAGAAAAATACTTCCCTCGTTCTATCCATACAAATCATGTCCCTCTTCATCACTACTACTATCTTACCCTTCAAAATTGCATACATACCCTCAGCACACATCATTTCATTCATTAAACCAAATCAAATCATCAACATGCATAGCTCATCCTGTAATAGAGCCAATGAAGCGTAGTGAAAAAAAGGTCAGGTACATAGAACAAAGGTACAATTCGCATCGTTGAGTTATTTTTTTGCTTTCTGCGCTCAACCCATGCACACCCTTCCTTCCCGTTTGTTTTCTTTATCTTGCTGCCTGACACACCGTTCTCAATGGACACAAATATTAAGAGTTAACTGTGATGAGCCTTCTCCTGAAAACTTTCCTCCCGCCTCTCTATGAAAACCAGATCCCAAATCCGAATGCCAAAAACCCGAAAACCTAAACTCGCTCGAATAACGTCCCATGTATTTATCGTCATGTCGTGAAACTGGTGGCATGTCAATCTAAAGCTATAGGTCGTGGTTCGGCCGAAAAGTCGTTGGGAGGGCATATCGAGTGGAATCCTTAGTGTTAGTGGTCGAAAAGCGTAATAGAAAAGTTGTTGTGTACATATTTGAGTCGCGTTTGGCAATGCGGGAATTAAGGAAACGAAAGGTAGGGTGGGGTGCGGAAGGTGTCACGCAAATAGGTATGTTTTGTCGAGATCGAGGTTCTGGAGGATACTTGCAAAAGTCTGGTGAGATGGCGGATCCCAAAGAGAAGCAATCGGTGAAAGGGCGCATGTTGGTCGAGGGCGATATTCGTTGCGTGGAAAATCGCGAATTGAGCTTATCTGCGTCCGAACCTGCTACACAAAAGGAAGTTCGTAATTGTTTCATTTTTTATTTCTTCCTCGGAGTGACGGGCCTGGAGGAGGCACCAAGACCACCTGCTGTGACGTACTTTTGTTTTTTCTCCGCTGGTTTTAAAATCTGAGCGAGTAAAGTTAGTAAGACACTCATAAAAATGAGAAAATTACGTTTGGGACCTACCTGGAATGAACATAACAAACTCTCATCCACGCTCATCATCGCTCCGGCATTGTCAAACTCTCCGCAGTAATTGGGCGCACTGAAGAGTGTAACCAATTGCCGCTTTGAGAAAAACTCGTAGCCATCCTCGACGACCTGATGAGCTCTGCATATCAAATCCATATCATGCTTTTGTAGGAATCTAGAAACAACGTCGGGACCGAATGTAAAGGATACACCACGATCGTTTTCGCTCCAGCCGGTAATATCCTTATCTGGATCGGACCAGAGAAGATCGCAGAGGAGACCGCAATCAGGAATCTAATTTCATATCAGCAAGAGCTCTGGCCTCCTCCCATGGCACATTGAGAGCTGGCAAATAAAAAAACTGTTGGGAGGGCTTACATCAGTTGGTCGCATGACACGGCGGATTTGCTCCATGGAGTTCAAATCAGGACTTAAACCACCGTGCATAGTGAAGATCTTTTCATCAATGATTGCTGCGATGGGGAGGCAGTTGAAGCAATCAGTAAATGTCTTCCATAGCTTAATGTTATATCTTCTCTTGCACTCGTCGTAGAAGCCATAGATTCTGTTGATCGAGGCGCACTCGTGGTTACCACGGAGGATGAAGAAGTTTTCTGGATATTTGATCTTGTATGCTAAGAGCAAACAGATGGTCTCGAGTGACTGTTTGCCTCTATCGACATAATCACCAAGGAAGAGGTAATTTGCCTCGGGAGGAAATCCGCCATATTCGAACAAACGGAGGAGATCGTAGTATTGACCATGGATATCACCACATATCTAAATTCGCGCCATCGAGTCAGTACTTTATTTGCCAGCCTGGCGCATGTATAAAAGGATTGCTCAGCATCTTACCTTGATTGGTGCCTCGAGCTCTAAGAGGATTGGTTGAGAGATGAAAATTTCGCGGGCCTTGGTGCAAAGATAACGAATTTCTTGTTCCAGGAGCTGTACTTGTTTACCTGGTCTGCTACCTCTAACTTCTAGCAGTCTATCGATGATAGAGTCGAGATCGACTTCTTGTTCTGCCATCGCTTTTGTCCTCCTTCAGGAGAATTTGACTGGGGGTGTTGTGATGTAATCCTCGGCAGGTGGGTATCAAAAGATGATGGGTTATGAGGGTCGTAAATGTGTCCGAGGCGAGTATTTCAATTCACTTCTCGATCTACTGCGCCATTATTGATTAGTTTTAAGCCGAGATAACTTAGTGTAAATAGACTTCTTTGATTAAGTTTGTAGCTGGAGCTCAACAAGAATCAGTTTGGGGGGAGGATGGGGGTTTGATTAACTTACAATGAAGTGAAATTAACCTCAATGGAACTCTTTGATTAAAACCACGTTAATAGTCACCCCTCAAGAGATGTTATTCTTGATGTCGTGATGTTGTGGTTGGTGTTGATAAATTGAGCTCAGAAAAGTCGTCAACTCTAAGTTGAATAGACTCTGAGTAAACAAGTATATGAAAAAGATGTGATTTGCTGTGGTTAATCACAAATCTTTTTTATTTATTAGTTCGCCAGTTGAGTCGCAAATAATGCGAATAGTATCTTCTGAGTACTAGGTATTCGTATATGAAGTTCCGCAGAGTAGTCTTTGTCGACTCGAATAAAGTTTGAAGTTTCGTGCTTAAGTCGAGGGATGAAGTTGTTACGGGGCTTGTCGGATTTCTTCTTGTGTTTTCAACAAGCGCGCTCTTCACTCTCTTCACTCACTTCACCTCTCTCTCTGTCGTTTATTGCCTTACTTTGCCTGAAAATTGACCAAAGGTTCGAGAACACCGACAAAGCAGCAGTGGAGCCAGGAACAAGAAAAAAATAAATGAAGAGCCCAGAAAGGAAGGGGAAAAAATTGAATTTTCTTATAATATTGTCCGTGATCCGTATTTCCTTTTTGGATTTCTTTTGGTGTTGTAAATTATTTGTGTCGATTTTACGAGTAATAACTTTTGAGGTTATTCAGATCTTCGTCTCTTGGAGTTGTTTCTTTTCTTCACAAATGTATTATTATTATTATTATTATTATTATTATTATTATTATTATTGTATTGTGGAATGCGAAGGTGATTAAATAGATTTGTCAGATGATTAAAGAGTATTCTGTACAGCAAGAAAAAGTACTTTAGATTCATCAATTGTGATGAGTATCCGTACAGTTATTGCATGCACCAAAGTAAGTAGCCCATCAATCATTGGGATCCTTATTACTCAGTATTCATTGGACCTCATGAGTGTAAGCAATACGGCTTCTTTTACCTTATCTGGCTATGGCTATATGATCAAACACACACTGACTCTATCTTTGCAAATAAGAACATAGGTCTAATTATGTATTCATAGTCATATTCCATCGAGCTCAGTGGTGCAGTAACAATTGAATGAGGTTGGTTGCATATGAATAGTCATTTCAAAGCAGCACTACTTTTTCAAGCGCTTATACAACAAGGAGTACAGTCAATTATCTCAGAATCCGATGCTTCATAATTATTTTCAAAGCTGCTTTTATTTTTTCTAAATTCATATCCCCTGATGCAGATCTGCTCAACCTTACTGAAGACCAACAACAACTCCTCAACTAGATACGAAATAATATCAGAAACACTCGCCGTCCCTATCTCTCCCACACATAATTCGTCTCCCCTCTATCGGTAGATCCACATTTGAATATGACAACCCTTTGTATACAATCGCGAGATCAAGAACGACAAACCGCATCGATGCTGAATGCTGCATTATAACATGTTATATACAATTCAATCGGTCAAGATCTCAAGATCTTGACCAGAAGTCTAGCTCATATCATCGCCGATACCGATGCGATATCGGTTCCGTCCGTTAATGAATTAGTCTTCTTTGCTACTCAAATAGTTTCGGCCTTTTCTACTATCGGTACTCCTATTTTGAATCCTGACGAATCAAACCTTTTGCGCAACTAGTCACCAACAACAAAGTACATCTATTTATGTACCTGAGAACACCGTTCACCTACTGATGCTTCCTACTGGTGCATCCTGCTTTATTATCCTCACCGTTCATCGGTTTGCTCGCAAAGCCATAACTACTAAATACGCATTACTCGATACCCCACCAACACCATTTCATCAATGGTCCAGCCGCAAAAGAACGCCTTTCAATGGCCCAGCATTGGCTGTGCCTAGAAATAGCAACGAATCACATATCATATTTCAAGCCACTCTGAATTCGAAAGACTCCACATCTATGAATCCCCTCGAGTTTTCATATGCTTTCTACTCTCGTCTTCGCTTTATTCCGAGAAGCTGCACTTTCACAGATCACATGCATTCATCAGCTCTGATAGCTCATGATACCCCGCTATGTCTAATAACAACACCGGTTAGCCACCAAACTCAGATATTTCTCAAGAAGTCTTCTTGAGAAGTTGTCGGTCTTTGCCGAGTCCCGAATCACCCCGTTGTCATGTCCTCGGCTTCTCAAATCAAGACCCCTCTTATAAATTTTATAAGTTCTGGTATCTACTTCAGATGAAACTATCAAGAAGCGAGAGAATGTCTACTCCGAACCGACTAAATGTCCCTGCGGATACTTCTTGGGATTGGCGGTGTACCTCCTACAGCACATCATTATTGCTGCACAATGACCTGTGACCTATTTGACGATCGAAACAGCATCGATGTATTCCTGCAAGGGTTATTAAATTTGTGAGATTTGATATTCTTTCTAGTATTCTCTCAATCGCCATAAGTATGGCGACCTTCCTTTGCGTCTTCCATCTTACTATACCATTATTTCCTTGCGTTATAGCAGATTTGAAGTGTCTATTTCTCATTCACACTCATACTTATCGAGTATTGCCTCTGCTAGCGGTGCCCCGAATACCCCTGCAACCATAAGACAAGATATACAGCTCAAGAGACACGAGGAAGTTTCCTCTGGTGAATCACTCACTTTGATTCATGTTCTATTTCCCTCGATTGTTTAACAACAAATTGCCAGAGTTCCATATACCGGGTCCCAATTATATCCTATCAAGCACTTATCTAAAATGTTTCCTACAGAATCTGTATTTGCTCATGGAGTCAACTTCTTTTCAATACACCAACGAGAATGTCACTTCTATCACCTTTCATGAACAAAGATCAAAGATACCCTTCTTCACAGCGAAAGTTACCTCTATGGACCATACCCATCAGCAAAAGCACATGACATCAAGATATGCGAAAACTATATCTACTGCTCCACTGTATCTTCAGGTTTGCCACTAGTAGGGCACATGATCCCTAGATATGCAACAATTGTTCTCTGCTTACCAGAGGACTAAGCATATAACAGTATAACGACTAAGCAAGCTGCTACGTGTCTATATATTCTGAGAGAGAGAGAGAGAGACAATATAACGCCTTCTACCGAGAACATACTAAAAGGAAATGGACCTAGTCCATCAAAGCTAACACGTATACAACTCATATTTAGTAAATGGGGTTACTGTCACATCAAAGTTCGGTAACGGCAAATCTTGTTCACTTAAATCAATTAATGTTATGGTATATTTGATTTTCCTTGCAAGTTTTGAGGTATACGGTATTAGATATTTATTCTGTTAAGCTGTTAAGCTGTTAAGCTATTTGAGATTTGAGATTTGGCTGAGAATATGAGATAATGGAGAACTTAATGTTTTGCTAGTCATGATTTAGAAGAATGATGGAATGATACAACGATTGGTTATTGGTATATTTTAAATTTTAAATGTTATTGATTATTAAATATACAGTGTTGGAATTCTACTGCCTATTTGCTACTTACTACATTCGTTTCATTAGTATACTCGAGTACTGGTAGATATATATATCTATTCAAATCAAAATCTCATTTCAACCAGACGTGTCACGTCATATGGGGTAGAAATGTCAAATCTGTTGGTATCTGCGGACAGCCCGGGTGTCCAGTACTGAGTCCTATGTATCTCCAAGAATTTTATCGCTGGAGAAATCATCATGATTACCGTATATATTCAAGACTCCCATTCCTTTCTTTCTTCCTCCCCGCAGATCACGACGGAGATCTCTCTCGCGTTATATATATACTCGTAATATGCTCCATACTCAACTCAATTCATTGACTCCCTTCACTCCGCTTCCTCAGTTCCTCTCTCATATATATATAATACATACACAGTATATACACAGTACATACACTCATCTCATCCCCCTCATCCCATCTCTCACCCATCCAAGTTCAAAGTTTCAACACGCAACTCTTCTTTTTCTTCTAGTTTTTCTTTTTTCACAATTTCACAAACTCCCCATTTCCTCATTCTGAACCTTAGCTTATGATTAGCTTATAATTAGTCAATATTGTTGATGAGATGAGCTTACGTCCATTATTTGGTGAGTTCGGAGTTTGTAAGTTTATGTTTTATGTATCATATGTTAAGTATTTAGTTATGGTATATATTCATATCTGTCTTATTTTCTACCTTGTATTGCCCGCCTCCATGATTACTCTCCTCCCCCCGGCCTCTTCTCTCAAGACCCCTTTGCCCTTCAAAAAACATACACACAGTATACAGCATACAGTATACACCTAAGCGCAGCGGTAAGCGTATAGGTGACAGTACTTCACTCCACACACTCATACTCACACTCACACTCAAGTTACAGCCAAGTTATAGCCAAGAACCACTTAAACACCAACATGTTATACAGTACTCGAGTATTATTCTCGCAAGGCAACGCAACGCAACTCAACGCAAGGCTTGAGGTAGAAACTGTAGCATGTATACTGTTCTTGGTGTCTGATCTTAAGTACTGTTAGTCTTATGTATGTATATGTATATACTCGTACTATAAAGCTGTCCGTCTCCCGTTTTCTACTCGATTACATTGAAAATTTGAAATACGGTGTTTTATGATTTATCCTGTTACTCGAGTACTCTTTAGGTGATATTATTTCTGTATTCTTATTCATCCCCATACATGTACTCAAGCACATATCCATATTCTGCAAAGAATCCAAACCTACCTCCGTTTTAAGACTATACCTTGGCGTCTAACACGCTTTCCTCCCGGTGAGTTCGCTGCTCTGCATTGCTATCGTTTATCTATATCAATCGCATCTATCTATCGACTCGAGTATATTATACCATACCATACCTTACTATTATCCTCTTATCCCATCTCTTCCCCACTCTCTTTCCTGATTCTATCCATTCCGCCCCTATACATGTACATATACCTATACATAACAAACCTCGAATATCTTCACTTCACCACACTTCTCCTCACTTAACTTACTAGTACTACATGCTATATACTACAACGTACTACACTACTTAATTTTATCCCCTCCCCTCGACAATCATTTCTACCACTAACTAATCCCATCCACCAATCCCCAATCCCCAACCCCAGAATATACATACACATCACATCATTACTCCAATCTGATCTCCTTTCCTCTTCTCTCCTTTTTTCTCTCCCCCGAAAAATTTACATACTATACAATACCTAAATCACATCCAATTCATATTCAAATTCAAATCCATACCCAACAAGAAATACTTATACATCCCCCCCCCCCTTCTTCCTTTTCCCCTATCCCCTCCTTCCCTTCCTTTTAGACATTCAATATCCCATCTACCTCTCCATCATCTACTTTTCATCATCCACTATCCACCATCCACCATTTCCTCCCCATTACCCACTCCAGTCTCCAATCGTCAGTCCCCAATTCCCTGTGGGATATCCCAAATACTCTCTCTCTCTCCTTCACTCCCACTCACCCCATTAAAATCTCAACTAAAATCATAACCCTTTTCCATAACCCTTTCCATATCCATAAGCTTTCCATTTTCATATCCATTTCGATTCCCTTACCCCCGCTCAACCCCCCTCAACCCCCTTCACCCCCCATCCCCATCACACCACCACACCACATCACATCACATCACATCACCATATACCCACCTACAACCTCCTACCTCATATCTCCTACCTCCTATCTCCTACCTGCCACCTCCCACCTCGCATCTCATACTTTCCCCGCATCCCTCTCTAGTCCCTACTCCCTCCCTACCACCTTCCTCCCTATCTATACCTCTATCCCTCCATACCTCTACCATATATCATTCCCTACTTCACATTCCAATCCCTACCCCTATCCCTATTCCCATCACACACAAAAGTTCACAAGTTCACAAGCTCACAATAAAACATAATATAACATAACATCAAATTAAATCCCCCCCTCCCCAAAAGAAAAGTCAAGACCACACATATCGTATCAACGAAGTAGAATTCATTTCGTACCTAAAGACTAACCATCTACCATCTATCAACTAATTCTTTTCTAATGCCTCTCCAAAAAAGAAGAGAGAGAGAAAAGAAGATCCCTAACTACCAAAACTACCATACCATGCCATGCCCACCCACTCACTACCTTTGCGTTTCAAAAATCTACCCTGGAAATTGAGTTCTTTTGATGATCAACCCATCAGACGCCAAAGCAAACCAAACCAGCCTTTATCAATCATAAACGCCATTTTCATCATCATATCGTGTCATATCATCATACCATCCCATCAACCATCAACTCCCTAATTACCACCAAACAATTCCCCCGCCAATGCGCCACCCATACCCCGTCTACCCAAGCCCTTAACTTCCATATCCGCCGCAATAATGTTCATCCTCAACAAATGTTGTCTAGCTTCACGCTCTACCTGCTTTGCTGTCTTGAGAGCCTCTTGTTGGATTTCTTGTCTGGTCGCTTTAGGTGTTGATACGAGGGTCTATTATCCTGTTTGTTAGTACAACGTATTGAGCCAGGAAGAAGTGGTGTAAGGGTTAGGGAAGTATGGAAAAGATCCGAATATAATAAACATACCTTAGAAACGAGATCGATTCTAGCATCCAACTCTCCACATTTAATCATCTCCGCCAACTCCTTCTCAATAGTCTTTCCAGGCGGCGCAAAGTTCTTATTCAATGTCTCAAATGTAACACAGCTGAAAGGAATAAAGTACTGAACAATACTCTTGCTTCTGATACGAGTATAAAGTTCATCAACATGCTGTTGCAAGTGGATATCGAGTAGATAATCAGCTCTGTAGGACTCGAGGATCTCCAAACATGCAGCGTACTTGCTACCAACAAAAGATTGAATGGCACGGCGGATATGTGGTTCAAGTTCGAGGTAGGTGCGGAATTCGGAGTTCTCGAGAACTAACTTTTGCATATCGTTACGTTCGATGGTAGCCAAAGCGCAAAGTCCTCCATAGACAGCAACATCATTAGGAGTGATGATTGTGTTGCAGCTTGTACCCATTCCAGGTGGTGCTTGTAGAAAACATTGTGCAGCATCTGCATATTTCGCAGCTTGTAATTGTGCGATACCTTCAGCGGCATGGATGAATGGTTTGATAATCTTATCATCATCTGGGCCGACGGCTATTCCTTTCATCTTCTGAGCGGTGGAAAGGACTGCGATGTATTCTTTTCTCTCAATGCAAACTTCGATAATATGTCTGGAAATGCCGACGATGTGTCTTGGGATGCTCATATCCTGTCGCATGCGAGAATAAGCGTCGAAAGCAAAGCCAAGTTGACCCGTAGCTTCATAATGTTTGCCTAAATCTTCATTTCCCATCTGTTGGAGAAGCCATTAGCCAGCGGAACTTTGAACTCCAACCGCAGTAGAACACAAGGAAAATAACCTACACGAATGCTCTCCTTAATCAAGTTATTCTTATAGCCCTTCAATTGTGTTTCCAAGCGTGCAGCCTCCGCAGCATTGGCTTTATTCGTAGCATCAGTCCACTTATCATCTCTGAAGACCTCTGGTTCATCTGGCGCAATCTTGGTCAAAGCAGCCCAAGCATCCATGTAAATAGTCACATCCTTTCCTTGTTTTGCTTCCTTGATTAACATTTTTAAAGCATCGACGCCAAGGAAGGTAGAGGTGACGCCGATAAGATAGAGTCGCTCGAGTCTGGTTCTGCCTATAGAAGAAGAGGGGTTAGCTACAATGCTCTCTATAAGATCGGAGACCACAGAAGATATGAGATCTCACCTTTGTAATTTGCGATATAGCTTTCAAGATCGAACTTTGGCGGGTCTGCAGAAAGAAGAGTTAGTTAATAACTACCATAAAGATTCGAGCAGGTCTCAATAGATGACTTACCAGTAACAACATGAGCTTTTCTAGAAACTGGTACATAGATCGAAGACATGATTGCTTCTAAGCTCTCGCGTCTCTACGTGCCAGTAATGTTAGTTGCACTCGTAGTATACGCAGTTTGATCTCCCGCACGAGTTGCTCGAAATACTCCGTGGATTCCTCTCCTCCAGTTAACTGGCGGTACGTCTTTTGGCGTTCTTTGATGATTCTGCACCTTTCTATGGACTGTTCGTATTTTGAAGCTGTTGATCAATTTTCAAGGTTAGAAAGAGCTGGTTATCGAAGATTGTAGAGTAAACATACCAGCAGGGGCAGCAGAATCCATAGTATTGCTCTTGTCTCGGATACAGAGCCAATCGGTGTAAAAGTATTTAATCCCGTGGTGGGGCTGAGCAAGGTTGAGCAAGGTTGAGAAGAACAAACTAAACTTAAACCAAGACTGCAGCTTGAGCACAGACCTCATTCAACACGTGCTCAAGTTACTGCCTAATTTACCTGGCAAATATTTTCACATGAGATCCCGGAGTTCGGCCGCTTCAATGTCATGAAATTACATCGAACAATATAATGAACAATCTAATCATTATGTTTACATGCAGTTGGATTGTTCACTTTGAATCCAGCATATACATACTATAATTCAATAGTCCCAGAGTTGGAAGATCAAATTAGTTTCCTAAGCGAAGAAATAGGGATATTCTAAGTTCATCTAGTCGGTTAAGATCGCTCAACCTCCTTTCGATACTTTTCCCTTGTCTATAGGCCGAGAATACTAAACATTTTCTTAAGTGTAAGAAATAGAGTTGTTATTTACTCATCTAGTATACCAAGAACATTCGATCTTCTTTCGGAGTATAAAAAACACAGAGTATCTTTCCTCATCCATGAAGATCACAACATTAAACATCTTTTTCTTAGAAAGATATAATGAAAAGATATTGATCTAAAATCACTTGTGTTGAGAATCTTAAAGCGATCTTGTTAGTACAGGAAATCTCCTCTATATGCACCTATCTCTTAGAACCAGGAAGCTAAATCTATCTCGAAAATGTTTTTCTTGTTGAGCAGAGTAGATAGAACCTATCCCTATTACTGTGGACCAGAACCAGAACCTTTGTATCAGCTATAAGAAATGTGTTTCTATTTCGAATTGTATAAACTGAGAATATCAAGATTCTATCGAATCTACTATATCAGTACTAGAAATAACTTTAATTTAAGCTCAATTCTCCAAACCAGAAAATCGAAATCACATTTGAGAAGATCTAGTTATTGGATAAAATGATTTCAATATACGAGTAGGCTTTTTATCAGATAGAATAGATAGAATCCACTCTTATTACTTCGGCCCCAAACCCGAATCTTCTTATTAACATAAGAAATATATTTCTATCTCAAATCGCATAAGCTGAGAATGTCAAGACTTGTACCAAAACTACTATATTATTACTGGAAATAACTTCAATTTAAGCTCAATTCTCAAGATCAGAAAGCTGAAATTATATTCAACTTGAAGGAGATCTAGTTATTGGGTAAATGCCTTCAGTTTGGGCCTGTTTTCAAAGACGCAAGCTTTTAAATATACCTATCTGTTGACTACAAAGAACATGTGCTTATACATACACAATGCCCCGTGGAACAATCCCTAATAAGAACAGCTATTTATGAATTTGGTTTCAAGTGAATGCCTTTTCCGCAGCATAACAAAGGTCAGAATAAACTTAGCTTCAATTTCTTTTGGAATTTTTGGACATCATTATACGTAGCTACTGTACATACCAACAAACAAGCGAAACTCCTGTAAATCTTAATCTCCTTCCCTCTCCGGCAAATAGCAAATTAGCAAATATCTCATACTTTTCCCATCCCTCCCCAACGATTTCCGAGTCACCACCATCAAAGATGAAAGATATACCAACAAACCTATAAAACACTTCACCCCTTCTATCCAGAAAGAAAAAAAGAAACAACAAGTCTAACTACTCAATCAAAATCCGGCTTATATCACGTCAAATCAGCAAAACACAAATATGAATATGCATACAAAAACATCTGATCTTTCTTCTCCCCTCTCCTCAAGCTCCAACCGATTTACAAACTCAACTTACCTTACATATATATTATTGATACATATATACATCAACTCTCAAGCTCTCTAGACTGAAGAAACCAAACATAACAAAAAATCCATCCCTCCCTCCCTCCCTTATCTCATCACTCACAATATCATCACACAATACCAAATACCCAATACACAACCACTACAACCACAACCACCACTATCACAAACCCACCACAAGCCCCAAATACCAATCAGTACAGTACCTTTCTTATCTTCCTTACCCTATCTCAAATAAAACATAAACATCACCACTACCACTACCACTACCACAGCACAGCAACCCCACCCTATTTTTCCAAGTATTCAGAGATCGCAAGTACTGATACCAATACTAGTACCGGTGTTTACTCATTTAAGAATTTTCTGAATATCGTTTATCATCTATTATCTACCATCCACTATCTCCAACCTTCTATCCATCTTTCATTATCCTCTAAATTTTTCAAAAAACCCAGAAACTCGAAAACCCAGAAATTCAAAGCTTTTGCATACTCGAGTATGAGTTTCGGGATATAATCTAGTTTATATAATCTAATCTAATCCATATAATCTAATCCATGAGTAAATGATCTAATCAAAACCATTTGATCTCTTTAATCTAATTCGTATACTCAGTAGCTCGTATAACATTCATTCATTCACCATGATTCACAAACAGTATAATATTGAATATCAAGTACCACTGAATTCTCCCCTATCCGAGCCCATCCCTCTAAAAAGATACTTTCTACTAATATAAACATACTCTAATTTCTAATCTCTAATCTCTTACCACAATATTCAACATATACACAAAACCATCATTCAAGATTCCAATCCAATCCAATATTGACTTCAAGTTAATAATCAAATAGATAAATCAAAGCTAGTAATCATTATACTCGTAATAGTATAAACAATCATTAACCAAATCAGAATAAGAACCCGAAACCAATCTACTTTATATAACTCTTTACATGCAAAACTCTTTCTTCATTATCCATATCAAATCTTCACATCTTGACATACAAGTACTCGAGTATCGATTTCTATATTCTATTGTAAGATTACTACAAAATCACACAGATCATGGCAAGCCTATGTTCATATACATGTTCTAGTTATACTCGAGTACACGTATTCATTTTCATATTCATCATCACCTAAATCTAGACTCTCTATCTCATTAACCCCTCATCTCCTGTTTTTTATCCTCCATCCTTTACTATCCACTCCCTCCATCCATCCATCATAACATGTAGGAACACAAAAAACAAAAAGAAAATCAGAAAAATCCCCAATCCAACCATTCATTCGGTATCATGAGAACACCCAACGCCCTATGCATCCATCTAATCATCAACCATCATCATTAACACATCAAATTCTCTTCCCCATCCCCATCCCCATCACCCCCTCCCATATTATGCCTATCATATCAAATCATCTACCGATATAAATCCAAATCCCCATCACTATCCCTCTCATCCCTCATTCCCCTACGACCAAAAGCCTCTCTTGCATCATGCTCATCAATCTCCATTTCATCCTCACTACTATTTTCCTCCGAACTTCCCTGATGATTAGGCTGGACAACAATCCTACCATCTCTCATTCCCACCCTCGCAACCTCTCCATCCTTAACTGCACCTCTCAATAGTAGTATCGCCAATCTATTCAACACCTCCTTTTCTATCAACCTCGCAAGCGGTCTGGCACCATACACTGGACTATAACCTGCCGAGCCGAGATAATCGCGGACTGCAGGACTGCAATCGATTTTGATATCTCTGCCATTGTCCTGTAGTCTCTTTTGAATCTCCAGAAGGCGTACGTCGACAATCTTGCGGATTTCGATTTTGGTGAGACGATTGAAGATGATAGTCGCATTGATACGATTAAGAAATTCAGGCAAGAAATAATCCTTGAGAGCTTGTTCGACCATCATGCGAGTAGTGGGATCGATCTTTCCATTGGCAGCATTAGGACGATCGAGGTATTCAGCACCCAAATTAGATGTCATTACCACGATACAATTTCTCGCATCAACAACACGTCCCTGGCCATCAGTGATACGACCATCATCCATGAGTTGAAGGAGAACGGTGAGAACTTCCTTTGCTGACTTTTCGATTTCATCGAAGAGAAGAATGGAGAAGGGTTTGCGACGGAGGGCTTCGGTAAGCTGTCCACCGGCATCATGACCAACATATCCAGGGGGTGCACCAATCATACGACTAAGTGAATGTCGTTCTTGATATTCGGACATGTCGAGTCTGATCATAGCCTTTTCATCATCGAAGAGGAAGTCGGCAAGTGCTTTAGTAAGAAGTGTCTTACCAGTACCGGATGGACCACAGAACAGGAAACTTGGTGGTGAGTTTGGATTAGAAAGTCCTGCTCGTTGAAGTCGGATGGCATCTGAGACTGCTTTAACGGCTTCACTTTGACCGACAACCACCTTGCCCAAAGCCTTCTCCATATTCAACAGCTTATCCTTCTCAGTAGCCTTGAGTCTCGTGACAGGAATACCAGTCCATCGAGCAACGATCTCGTTGATTTGTTCTGGACCAACAGTATCAGTAATAAGAGATCCACCAGAATCAGGGTTAGAAGAAGAGCTGAGAGCCGCATCGGCAGACTTCTTCTCTTTCTCCAAAGACTTGATAAATGCTTGTTGTTCCGGAATGGCGTAGTATTGAAGATCAGCAGCCTTGCTAGTATCACCCAACCGAGTAGCCTCTTCCATCTTGACCTTCAATTGGTCGAGCTTGACTTTAGCTTCTTGGATGTCTTTGCCTCTCTTTCTTTCGCTCTCATACTTCTCACGTAGAGGTCTAAGCTCTTCCTCAACGTTACTAGCATCTTGTCTAGCTTGAGCCAAACGAGTTTTCGAAGCATCATCCTTCTCTCGAGACAACGCATGGATTTCGATTTCGAGTTGTCGGTGTCTTCGATCGAGGGAATCAATAATTTCAGGTTGTGACTCGCGTGCAACTCGAACAGCAGCCGCTGCCTCATCAATGAGATCAACAGCAGAATCCGGAAGTCGTCTTTGTGTAAGGTATCTAGCAGCCAATGTAGCCGCAGAGACAAGAGCACCATCCGCAATTGTGACTCCGTGATGAACTTCGTATTTCTCCTTCAATCCACGAAGAATGGAGATGGTATCAGGAATAGACGGCTCCTTGACCAAGACTTGTTGGAAACGACGTTCGAAGGCTGCATCCTTTTCGATGTACTTTCGGTATTCGTTGAGAGTGGTAGCACCGATACAGTGAAGTTGTCCACGTGCCAACATAGGTTTGAGCATATTGGCAGCATCCATTCCACCTTCACCACTAGCGCCAGCACCCATAAGAAGATGCATCTCATCGACGAAAAGAACGATCATTTCCTTCGAATCTTCAATCTCCTTCAAAACACCCTTCATTCTCTCCTCGAACTCTCCTCTGTATTTACTTCCAGCGATAATCGAGCCGACATCTAACGACAAAAGTTTGCAAGCCGCAAGGTTATCCGGTACATCAGCATTAACAATTCGCTGCGCCAATCCCTCCACCACCGTCGTCTTACCCACACCAGGCTCACCAATCAAAACCGGATTATTCTTCGTTCGTCTGGATAAGATTCTAATGACCCGGCGAATCTCCTCCTCTCTTCCAATAACTGGATCAATCTTGCCCTCTCTAGCCATCGCCGTCATATCCACCGTGAATTTCTTCAAATTCTCATTCGCCTCCTCCGCATCCGCCGTCTTCGAGTCCACTCTTCTCGTTCCCCGAATCTGTGAAACCGCATCTTGCAGAAGCTTGACATTTGGCATATTAGCATCCTTCAAACATGCTTGAACAGCTGTATCCTGAGTCACTGCGATGATCAAATGATCCACCGCAATAAAAGAATCCTTCTGCGTCTTCTGCAGTTCTTTTGCCGCCCTCAAAATTTTGTTGAAAGAAGGCGAGACGGCAACTTGTTCTGGCGGAGGATCTTGACTAGGCAAACGAACAACGGCACGCTTGAGGGAACGATCAAGAGCTTGCGGATCTCCATGTGCTCGCTCTACTACTTGGCGGAATAGTGATTGCGAAGCAGAGCCATGAGATGCGTTCATAGTCTGCTGTTGGTCTTTTGAGAGATCGGGTAGAGGATCGAGGAGTGCGAGTGCGAGATGGAGGGGTAGAAGTTGAGAAGAACCATGCTGTTCTGCGTTGAACATGGCATCTTCTATGGACTTCGTTGCCCGTGTCGTAAAGGACATGTCAGACGTAGACATGATTGCGGTATTGTGTTTTCAGTTCGTATGTGAGTGTTGATTTCGTTGTTGTGTTGTTTCAAAGGAAGTAGGTATGTACTTGTGTATTATAAGCAGTATGCTGCGGCGGGGTTTAGATCACTGTTTCAGCTGTTGATTGTGAATTGATGGCTTCAAAGAGTGAGTGATTCGAATTGGATTTGATTTGTTTGTATTGATGATTGAGAAATAAAACAAACTTAAGATTACAAAGAAGGTGGAAGTTTATATAACCACCAAAGACCCATACGATGACCTGGTAAATACTTGAAATACCTAGAAATCACTGGTATCATGCTATGAGATTCTAGGATTACCTAGTAGCTTCTAGAAACGTCAACACAACGTTTTGACCCCACACACCAAAAAAAAGTTGGCTCGCTTGCAGACGCTTGGTAAAATGTTTAATGGCCTGATTTTCAGCCCAGCATTATGTAATGAATATCAGGCCACAACTTTTAGATGAGGCAGAAGATGACGCTAGGACAATTTTGGTTTTCAAGATATCGAAATATTACCGTTGCCCGTATTTGAAGCCTTCAATTGACAATATTCACAGCCATGAGTGTCCCATCACTTCGAAATTGCATTGGAAATTCTGTCAGTAGGACAGCTGGTGTACGATATGCATCAACATTATCAGTGACTGCGAGACAGCCAGTTGATCGACCGCAACATGGAGAGCAAATATATGTTTACAATCATTTACAGACGAATCAGGTCGTTTACTCACTTACTAAGGGAATGGATGTATGTTTTACCCTTTTATCTATCATTCCATCTTCTCAAATATACTCAATTACTCTCATACCCCCTCTTAAGCCTCACTAACCACCCTCCCCCTCCCCAGAACACAGCATCCCTCGCCCAACTCCCCTACAACGGCAAAAAGACTCGTCCCGCTGCCCTTCGCAAAGACCATTGGCACCCAATGGCCCTAATAACCTTTCCCTCAGGAGCTTCAAATTCCGGCCTCAGCGCCTTCCAAAAACTACGCGAATACCGCAAACGTCACGAATTATCCTGGGACCCTCACTCCCCCCTCTTCAAACGGATCCCCAGCCCCGGCGAAACCGACCTCCAAAAAACCCGAATCCTCCTCCCCGCCAAACAGCGCGGGCGCAAAATTAACGATCAAAAAGCCAACACCGTAGCCGACATGGCGGCCGTCCTCAGAGAAATCAGATACGGAAGTGAGAGAATCGGCCTGACGGGAATAGGAAAAGAAGGCGTCGTCGAAGTCAAATGGAGCGATCTCGCAGACGCGAGTTATGCCGGCTCTGGCACCGAAATATGGGGCGAAGCAGTTCTCCACGACACACTACCCTGGGACCGCAACAATCGAGATATCCGCAAGAAACAAGCGCTCAGCACCGAACAGCAAGCGGAATGGAAAGCTGCGCGTGCAGCCCACAAAGCCGCAAATGAAGAGAAGAAAAGGTTGAATAGAGAGGAGATTGAGCGCAACATGATACTCCGCGAGCAAAGATGGGCAAAACATGTAGCGCTGATGGAAAGCCATGTAGCGCTAGGCAAGGGGCCAAAGACCATACCCCAGAGGATCAGACAATCCCCGGCGGAAAATTGGGCATTAGAGAGACAAGCGCGCCTGGAAAAACTAGCGTGGATGGAACGAACGGGGAGTTCGGAGCTTGAGTATGAATTCTCACTTACACAGACAGACGCAGTTAACGCGTTGGAGCCACTGGTATCGGAGCTTGAAACTGGAGCTGGAGCTGAAGCAGGAGCCAAATATGAAGCTGGAGCCGAGCCGCTAGGATTGGATGTTAAGCCAAAGACTCCTGCTCCTTAGAATTATTTTTCTAAAATACTGTAGCGGTAGCGGTAGCATTCCAAGGCAAGGCATTACAAGGCAAGGCATTCCAAGGCGAGGCATTCCAAGGCGAGAGACCAACCAATCAATCATTAGATAGATGTACATGTAGATATATTATATTGTAAAATCACACAACATCACACAACACAATACTCATAGAAAACGAAAACCTAGTACACTGTATTAACACTATATTCAACATTCAACATTCAATATTCAATATTCAATATTCCTCAAAACCCATCAAACCATCAAAATCCTCACAACAGCAAGCGAGGTTGCCCCTTTTTTTCTCTTTGCACATCATCCTTGTCTTTCACATCCTCTACTTTCACATACTCGACTTTGTATCGGAATATACATATATACATGTATCTACACTTAATTCTCATCTCTTCACTCATCATTATCTATCTTCCTGTTTCCTTTTCTTTTTCCTTTTCCTTTTCCAATCCAATCCATCCAATACAATCCAATCCATATCACATCATCTTATCTCAAATTCCCTTGATCCCAATTTGATTTTTTTTGCACTCCCCACCCCATCAATCATCCAACCATTCCCATTCCTCGCCCATCAACAATTCCCATCAACCATTCCTTCTCTCTTCCCAAACAAACGATCCCAAACCCCAACTAATCCCTAAACCCTAAACCCTAAACCCCTAAACCCTAACCGCAAAACGCTTCAAATACTCATAATCCTCTATATTCGCATCCACCGTTTCTCTAATAGTGATCGCTGCCTCTTCTCCATACTTTTCTTTCCACTCTTCATTTTCTTGTGCTGGGGTTTTGGGTTTCTTTTTCTGTTTGATGGGTTAGATTTGATTTGCTCAGTTCTGCTTTGCTCTGCTATATCTAATCAAAAGAGGGACGGAGAGAGAGACAAAATAATAGAAAGAGAAATAACAACTCCCCCTGCAAAATTAGAAAAAAAGAAAAAAAAAAACTTACATGTTCCACACTCCTCGCCTTCAAACTCGTACTATGAATCGCATCATCATGAAAGCCCCTCCACTTCTCAAACGCCTCTCTAGCCTTCCTATGATGTTCCTCGGTATCCCAAATCAACATATCGGCATCATATTCCATACCCACCTCTTTACAATACGCCTTGATAATACCCTCTGGATTATCCAACAAATCATCTGCGTCGATGACAGTAATGCTCACTTCCCCATCCTTCAACCCTTCAGATGTAGATGCAGATTCGAGGGTTCCGGCTACAGAAGGACCAACTTGGTTGTTGGAGCGCAGAAAATCGAAAACGCGGCGTAACTCATCGTAGCCAGCTTCTTCGGGCATGAAGTTGTGGAATCCGGTTACTTGGTCGAGAGGGGGGATGGTGCAGCGGTAGTAGGAGGGGATGCTGGAGCGAGGATGGCGGATTAGGAAGGTGAAGTGGAATTGTTTGAGGATTTCGGCGGGGACGACGGTGGGGTTTCCGGGTTCGGCTGTGGTGTTGTAGGGATAGGGGGTTTGGTTGATGGCGCCGTTGGTTTCACCATTTGATATTCCGTTCACTCCATTGCTTTCGCCGTTCGACACCCCGTTTGCTCCATTTGTTTCGCCATTGGTTCCTACGCCCTTTTTGATACTTTGACCGCCGAGTGAGGGGGCGATGGTTGCTGGTTTGCCCTGAGGAGGTACGAGATAGTGAATGATATCCTTGATGAAAAGACGTTTTCCCTGTTTTGTATAAGTTGCTGGCACATGGATGGATGTATATTTGTGAGGATTGAGGTTCAGGCGCATGAATGGTAAATTCTTCCCAGAGATGGTTTAGAATGGCAAAGAAAACGTAGATCATGATATGATGGTTCTGAAGCCTTGGTGTGATAATGTTGGTAAATGAAGAACATTTCGATATCATATAGCAGATGTATAGTCCGCACATTCAGACACTTGTCTTATGCCCCATGCCAATTTTGAGAGTCCCAGCAAGCAGCAGAATAAGATCTACTCAAGGGAGCAACTGGGATAACAAATGGAGTGGATCCAATTCTAACCTCTTTGCCTTCTTTTTCAATTCTATCGAAGACTGTCTTAAATGTACTATCAGCGAAACCGCTCTCCTGGCGAGTGGCTTCATCATTTTCATATCTCGGGCTAAGTCTCTCGGGACCAAAGTAGAATGCGTCTCCGAAGGGTTCGTGAACGCAGGCAAGGACATCATCGCGAGTCATAAAAACCTATAAGTATATTAGTGACTTGCTTGGGAATGTCATAGGTTGCATATGGTACTTACTCTTTCGAATGCGGTAGAGCAAGCTCTTGGGTGGGTAGCACAAAAGATTGGTTTCATTGAAGCCATCTTATTGGTTGTATATTTGTCGAATGTATTAATTGAAGTTGTAATAGACTGACAGGGCAAATGCAATCTATATTCCCAAATAGAGCTTTTGCAAATTGTCGAGTATTCCTTTGTTATTCGCTTCCAGAACAATTAGAGGTCGATACGTCAGGTACGTCAGGTACGATCTAGGATTTTACAAATCTTGCAATCCGATTGGAGGAAAAAGAAATGAATACTAGATGAAAAGAGGACGGGAAGAAGAAAATCTTTTGAAAGGTTAAATAGTAGAGATCATTGAGAACCTTGGTAAATAGGATTATTTGCTACCCGTTGTACTAGAGTGTGGGTAAGTTGTTACATAGAGTAGAAGAATCTTTTTAAAAAAATTGAACTTTTTGTGGTTTCTGATTTAACGAATAATGATATGGTCCATTAAATGTATTTTTTTTTCCCACTCTTCCTTACCTTTTATTCTTTGAGTTGTTTGACAGAGAGAATCCAAGGAACTCATGTCTCATACCATAAATATGAAGCCAATGATAAATGATATTTGTGTGGTTCTGAAATATTGAAGTAGATGAAAAGAAGTATATATGACGTGATGAGGTTAAAAGCTAAAAATAATGCCCCTCCCTTCCAAGTTTGATTTTTTGTCTTTTTTTTTGCGGCCTTTCATCCGAATTTTTAATGCGGGCGTTGTGAGACATCAGGCTGGGCTGATGATAGTTGTAGTTGTTGTGGTTGTTGTGGCTTATTGCCGGTATTCATGGGGGATGTGTTGATTGATAGGAAGATAGGAAGATAGGAAGGGATCTGGATGAATGGATAGATGATAGATGATAGATGATAGATGATGGATGGATGGATGATAACCTACCTATCTATTAATACCTATCTACCATAACCGGTATTTTTGTATGAATGTCTTTACTGATGCAAGTCATCTGGGCTGGGATTCACAGCTGTGTCAGTATGGATAAAGCCGGTTTATTACCTACAATACTGAGTGCACGAATGTGATTTAACGGCATGTGATACAAACGCAAACAACGACAACTTATTTATCCTTCCACTTAAGAACATATACTCGAGTACAGTAAGTAAATACACTGAGTACAGATATGATGATGCGATCTGATATGATATGATGTCTCAAATCTGAAAGCATACCTAGGTACAGTCTCATGATCCAGATGATTACTATCTCAGTATCTTGGAACGAGAAGATACCTAGGTAAAGTCATAAGGAAGTGCGAGTAGCGAGTAGCGCCAATATAGTTCATCCACTCACTAGCTAGTTTTCCGCCTTGCCAAGGTCTGACCAACGCGATCGATATCCATATCTCCTCGGACCCTTTTACAGCCTTGCGGAATCAAGGATGTTCAATGCAAGAGCCAAAATTCACATGTTTGAACTTTGAAGTCAGTAAGGTTATTCATAGCTAGCGGAGACTGATGAGGAGCGGAAAGGGACTCGGATGACATCGGTGCATCAGGGAGGTAGAACTATGAATACCCTATATCCTAATAAGTCATCAAAGTCTTTCCTCTCCTCTCCTTTCCTTTCCACTCAACGATGCGATAGTCGGTCCCGAACCCCGATAATTGAAATCAGTCGGAGTGGCCGCCTGAAGTCCGTTCGCTGGTCATTGTTCCGTATGTAGCCCGTTGGCCCCGTAGCCCGTAGCCCGTAACCCTACTTGGGCCAAACGAGTGAATGCGGAAATATTCCATGTTCATGATTACATAATGGTCCGCTCGGCGGACCTCTTGTGAGTCCTGTCGAATGATCTCAAGTGACTTGGCAATAAGACTTGGCGTTTTCTTTAAATATTTCTATTTCGTTCCCACTATTTTCAAAAAGTTTAATGTCGATCATTCCTTCTATTGCATTATTGAATTATTTAAACAGTGAATTAAAGAGTTGTAATTGGTGAGAATGCGACCACCAAGAAGAAACCTCGGGATAACCCAATTAATTAATCTTTTATGTCGAAAAAGATCCGCCTTGCAGATTGAGAATCTAGGAACATTCCATCCTTTGTTCGGTTTTGTTCTCACACTCATTATTTACATTATTTCCTTTACATCCACTACCACGACCCATCATTCTTTCTATGCAGTTGCAGTAGAATATTATTCGATGGGAGTTACTACCGGTAGTAGTATTATTATGCATACCTACCTACCTAGGTACCTAGGTAAATAGTATTCGATCGAGTCATTACAACTCTTATTATTGCTTTCTTACATACTCGGGTATATATCATACATAAGTACCTACCCTACATACATACATTTATACACACATCCATCCATACACAGTTATACCCAAGACCTCAATATCTGCATCTTTTGCGCTGCCAAGTAGAAGATCTCTTGTCAATTTCTATTGCCGTGCCTTATCCTTTTTCTTACTGACTTGATTTGCCCAGCCCGTTTTTCTTATATCCGAGGGCGTCAACGTCGAGACCAACTCGATAAAGAATAAGAGGGGTTAAATGTCTAAGCACTTCCTTACCAATACCTTCTTTCAAAGCAGATTACGAGAATTTACGATTAAGTTATCTTTTCCCTAGGTACCCAGTTTGAGATAGCGATTGAATAAGTCTCTTCAAATTCCATTTTCTACTTTAAATACCCCAAGATGTCAGGCACAGGTACACCAATTGATCAACAATCACAACCACTATCATATTCACAATCACAACTAATTCCAATCTTGGGTCAACAAAATCAAGAGATTCCTATCAGCCCGAGTAAATCACCTCCCGACCTCGAGGTAACAGATGATTGGCATGCGTCTTCATCACAGCCACATGCTACACCTTTACAAAAAAGGAGACGAGTTACAAGAGCTTGTGATGAATGTAGGAGGAAGAAAATAAAGTGTGATGGGAAACAGCCTTGCACCCATTGCACTGTATATAGTTATGGTATGATATTGGCTGCAAACTGGTATACTTGACTGCCATCATTGACTGATGTATTATAACAGATTGTACATATGATCAGCCTTCAAATAGAAGAAGAAATCCCGCGCCGCAATATGTCGAATCTTTGGAATTCCGTCTACAACGAGCAGAGAACATCATAAAAACCTACCTTCCGAACCTAAAGTTAAACGATCCAAATATAGATGCTGCATTGCTACAGCAGCAACGACAAGATGCGCCAGCACCACCTTCGACCACAAGCTCAATGCCAAGGGAAACTCCACAACAACCACAAATGTCGGAACAAGATGCGCAGTTACGGTCGATGATAGAATCTACAGGGCAACTTGATCTTGATGATCGTGGACATTGGGACTTTCATGGGGGTTCGTCAGCAACGGTTTTCATTAAGCGTCTGCGCGAACAATTTGGCAGTCTACTCGGATCCCCTAACGTACTTCCGAAACCACCGACTGCGCAGATGCCCCCCACTTACGATTCTCCAAAATCGTCGACAGACTCTCCTTATGACTTTGGTTTTCCCAATACAGTGGACCTTCCTCCTCGAGAAGTAGCAATGGCTTTGTGTGAAGATGCGTTGCATTGCGCTTGCTGTCTTTTACGTTTTGTTCATGAGCCGAGTTTTTATGAAATGCTTAATAGGATATACGATCAATCGCCTCAAAATTTTGGTGATGAGGAGCATAATTTCCTGCCGCTTTTGTACATGGCTTTAGCCCTAGGTTGCATGTTCTCCTCAGATCCATCCAGTCCCACGGACCCAGATAAGAAGAAATACAAAAGTAGTATGGATCAAGGGTGAGTACAATCTTTAGCGATAATGCCTTGCATATATCTCCGTAGCCTGTCTTACCTGATCGTCACGAGAGGCATACAACTTCATTTCGTGCTACTTTGTGTCCATGAGATCACCCAGGGCTAACGTTTCATTAGATTCAAATTTTACAAAGCTGCTCGACAAATGATGGATTTGACTGATTCTCGCGATATGATGTCTTTGCAGACAATTATATTCATGGTCCTATTCCTCCAAGCAACATCAAACTTGAGCATATGCTACTCTTACATAGGCGTTGCCCTGAGAGCTGCGTTACGCATGGGTTTACATCGTAACCTCAGCGGCAATTTCAATCCTATTGAGCGGGAGACTAGAAAGCGAGTGTTTTGGATAGTACGGAAGCTTGATACCTATGTCTCCGCTATTCTAGGATTTCCTATAATGTTGAGTAGTGACGATATTGACCAGGAACTACCAATTGAGGTAGATGACGAGTATATAACCAAGGAGGCAATACTTCCCATGCCTCCTGGCACAATGTCACTGTTTGCGGCTTCGAATGCCCATACTCGACTCATGCTCATCACAGCAAAGGTTGTCAAATATATTTATCCTATCAAAGGCTTGGAGCAGTCCGTCTCAGGAAACAGCAAAACATCCTACACTATAAGTCACTCGAAAATTCGAGAAATCGAAAAAGACTTGGCAGATTGGCTGGATAGGTTACCAATGGGACTACGCCCTGGGGGTGAAGGTCCACGTGAACTAATACGGTAAGCCCCCCAAGTCAAGTCTAGTATCATTGAACACACGACACGAGGATGTGCTTGAATTTTTAGAAAGGTTGAAGAATGCTCACTAATCATCATGTAGTATTCAACAACTTTTACGACTAGCCTACGCACATGTTCAGATGATGCTATATCGACCCTTTCTTCATTATATCTCTTCGAATGAGAGTGCTGGGAAGACTGTTCATGAACGATCTTACGCATGTGCAGCTGCTGGTATCAGCGTAGCTCGTAATATCATTCACATTACGACAGGAATGAATAAGCAGGGTCTTTTGGCAGGAGCATATTGGTTTACCATGTACACAACTTTCTTCTCCGTCATATCCCTCGTATACTACGTCCTTGAGAATCCCGACAAAAGTGGAGCCGCAGAGATTTTGGCAGATGCAAATAGTGGAAAGGATGCTCTGATTGGCCTTGCTCAAAGAAGTCTGGCCGCTGATAGATGTTCTTCAACTCTCAAGGTTAGTGCCATCTCTCACCATGCCAAAATCTTTTCTAACGCAAATTAGCCACTTTTTGAACAATTACCCGAGAAATTGAAAAATCGTCCCCTTTCGGCTCCATTGAAGAAAAAGAGACCAGCGCCAGCATCTGCACCTCCAATGCATCAAAGTAGTCCCGAACTCCCAAGGCCAAATTCCAGTCACATATCCCCAATACCTCGCGCCACGACATTTCCCCAAGTTTCCACACCACTTCAAGCCAGTGGTCTTCCAATGCAAAGCTTCATCAACAATCGCTTTCAAATAAATACAACATCCAACCCAAATCTTCAACAAAGTTTCCAAGATCTCGTATCACCTAGCGATTTATCCAATGCCGGCACTCCCGAAAGCGTAGCTTCGACTACTCACAGCATACCTCAATATGGCATGCAAAATCAATTCAGTGCTAGTAATAGTATACCATATCTCACAGGATTAATGTTCCCATCCACAGATCCTTTCGCATACCCAAATCAGCCGATGATGGAACTTGAAGCACAAAATTTGAAGCAGGAAAACGGTATGGAGACGAATCAACCGCAACCTATGTATATGGGAGGAGGTGGAGCGGGAGCGATAAATGGAATGTTTGATGATCTTGAGGGACAGCTTTTCGGACTAGTGCCGCCTTATATGATACAGGGTCAACATGGGTTTGATATGTCGGGGGCGGGACCAGGAGCTGGGAATTTGGATGGAAGTGGTGGTGGGGTTAGTAGTGGGATGATGCAAGGGACACATGCGAGTGCGAGTGCGAGTGTGAGTGGAATCGGAGGTACGGGGTTTGATTCCCAGAGTTTGGGGTATAATACGGGTATGAATTTGGATGGGATTTTTGATGATGTTGGAGGTGTTCCACGTGGGAAAGGGGATGAGTGGGGTGGAATGGGAGGACATGGTTTTAGGTGATGGGGGCTGGGGGTTGGATTGAATGAAATGGATGAGGGTAGAGGTTATTACTATTTGAGGAGCTTGGCGGAATTGACCGTCAATCGATCCTCTTCAGCGGTAATTCCCAGCATGGCACAATTGGACGAGAACGGGGAATGCGGGACGACAAGCGACGCGGGATGAGTACCGGTAAAAGAGAACTCGAGACGATAGTCGAGATGTGATACCTCCAACTTCCAAGGAACTTTCCGTTGAAAAGACCAGGAAAACAGCAATGAATGGATACATCATTACACGAGTAGATATCTGCACCAGCAACCAGCGTCTGGATTTTCATGTATTATTATAATTATTATTATTATTATCTTGGGCGCTTTTTGTGGTGGGTAGCAAGCCTACAGTAGGGATGGGTGTTTTGGGATAGAGGAAGGAAGGAAGGAGTATTGGTGGAGTAGGGTAAGGGAAGGGAAGGGAAGGGAAGGGAATGAGGGAGAGGGAGGGAAAGGAAAGGAAAGGAGAGAGAGGAAAGGAAAGGAGGAGGGAGGGAATGAGGGAAAGTGGAAATTCAAATTCAGGTTTAAATACAAATACAAATGCAAATGTGAAATGTGGGATATGGAATGTGAAAAATGAAAGATGGAAATTGGAATTGTGTATGAAAATAATGATGTTTGTTTTGGATTGTGAGAGGGTGGGGAGGGGGAGAGGGGGTTGAAGTGGGATTTGTGAGACTTAAGATTTTGCATAGTTCTATATTCTTTTCACACCAAAACTCATCCTAGGATCTAGCTTAGGAATACTATGTACAAGTACAAGTGCAAGTACACGTGCAAGTACAAGTACAAGTAATTTTAGTTAGGGTGAGGTGGGTTGAAGTGGGTTGAAGTGGGTTGAGGTGAGGTGAGGTGAGGTGAGGTGAAGTGAGGTGAAGTGGGAAGTGAAGTGAGAAGATAAGAAGATGAGAAAAGATGAGAAGATAAGAGATGGAGATGAGAAATTAGAGATGAGATTATTGTAATAATATACCTAGTAATTAGAACAACTCACTGAAGAGTACTCGAGAGTATACCTAGATTATATTATACCTAGCCTAGATTATATTATATCACACGATATAGTAAGATGACTCGGAGCCGAATTTATTATAATAACTTATAACTTATAACTTGATATATCATAAATAATACGCGAGTACTCGAGTAATTACGAGTACTAATTAGTACTATATACTCGAGTAGAATGAATAACATAACTTGAATAACTTGAAGAATCAAAATAGAGTTGAGTTGAGTTTTACTACTCGAGTTGTATAAGATAGATAGATAGATAGATAGATAGATAGATGACTTGGAACTTGGAGTCATTACTGAGTAATTAGAATATATATAGATATCTAGGTATTTAGAATAGGTATATAGAATAGGTATATAGTACTCGTTCGTGTATTAGAAGTTAGAACCTAGATGAAGATGGTGAGAGAAGAGAAGAGACTAGTAGTCGAGTACTCGAGTAGTGGTTTGATTGATCAATTGATCTGATCAATTGACTAACTAACTAACTAACTGACCGACTGACTACTGACTGACCAAGGAGACTAAGTATAGCACTATAAATAATAAAAATACAAGCGACTTTTCCTTTACTGAGTTATATCTCCTCAATTTTAAATTTTTACTGAGATTTTGTATTTTGTATTTTGTATTATAATTATAATTATAATTGAGCTATTATTAATTACTTAATTATCTCTACTTTATTATTTTATTTCTTGTACTTTTCTACCTCCTCTCAAATCTAAAAAAAAGGCAAGATACCTCTCGCCCTCTCACTCCCTCTCTCCTTTACTCTTCCCTTCCTATCCCTTCTAGGTAGGCAATTCTTAATAAACTCATATTCGTATTCGTACCCCCCGAACACAAACAACTACTTACTTACTTGTACTCGAGGATATGTATAACCACAAAAAAGTCACACTCAAACAAAAACCTCAAGATACTGACTGTAATTATACCGGATTCAGACGCACTATCTATTAATATGATTTTTTCCGAATCCATCTATCCATCCATCTCATCCATTTATCCATTTATCCAAGTCCATAAATCTCAGATCTCCAATCCAATCCAATCCGATCCGGCATCATGGCGCACCTCCACATTCCATCCATTCCTCCCTTTATCAGATCTCGCTAACACTACACTACTCGAGTACGTACAACCAACCACAACTTCTTATCGGTTATTGATTCTTAGGTGATTCATTCTTGCTTGGTTCATTCATTCATTCCTACCCGCATTCAATTCTATTTTAACTCAATTGAACTACAACACCTCACACCTCACCAACCCCCTCCCCTCTTCCCAAACCGGAAGGAAAGAAAGAATACAATACAATACAATACTTCGAGTATAATAGGAAAGAATAAAACACAACACAACTATACCCTTTAACACAACACAATCCAATCCAACAAAGACCGAAACCATCTTCGTCATTTCCTGATCCGTTCTTTGAACCATTTTTTCATTATGCATTCGTTATTTAGGCAAGTACCATCTTTGCGGATACCGAACTTGGATGTATTTCCATTTTGTATATTTTAACATGTTCGAATCGCGAATCGATGGGTAATTTATTAATTTTTTCAACTCAACTTTGGGTTGAGCCAATGTATAACAGCAGATAGCAAAAAATAATAAATTTGTTGTGCTCATCTCTCCATTTGAAAAATGCCTTTTCCCAAAAAACTTATCCCTTTTGCTTCGGTCCTGACGGTGGTTGTGGTGGTGTTAATTTTCAAACCTTTGTTTCTCAATATTGGAATTGGAAGTGGATGGGCGCCGACGAAATTTGGAAAGGAGTTGGGAGCGGGACCCGGTCGATGGCATGATGATATACGGTTATATGGGACGAAATGGAGGACGATGCAGGAACCGCAAAAGGCGATATCGTTTCATGCTGGGGTGGTGAAGCCATTTCCTGCGACATATTCGAAGATGCTTGTTATCGCTAGCACGAAGGCAGAAGATGTGAATTGGGTGAGAGAGAACTTCGAACTTGGTTCCGGGGTGCAGTCTACTATATATACGGCGGATGACCTGACGGCGGAATTTCATCCCCCGAGGAATAAGGGTCATGAGGTTATGATATATCTTTCGTATATCATTGAGCATTATAATAATCTTTCGGATGTGAGCATCTTTATGCATTCTCATCAATTGGCATGGCACAACAATGAACTTCTGGATCTCGATGCTGCGCAAATGATCTCGAGACTCTCTTCCGAACGTGTGATTCGAGAAGGTTATATGAATCTGCGATGTCATTGGCATCCCGGGTGTCCGGATTGGATGCATCCTGGAATTGTGGAGGAAGATGATAATAAACAAGAGCAGACGATCATGGCGAGAGCTTGGGTGGAACTTTTCCCACTTGAACCGGTTCCAAATGTACTTGCGCAACCTTGTTGCGCGCAATTCGCGGTTTCAAAAGAAAGAATTCGAACTCTGCCACTGGCTAGATATATTTTCTATCGAAATTGGTTGTTGAAAACGGAGTTGTCGGATTTTATAAGTGGGAGGGTGTGGGAATATCTTTGGCAATTTGTTTTCTCGGGACAAACAGTACTATGTCCAAAAGAACATGTGTGCTATTGTGATGGATATGGTATATGCTTTGGGGGAGAAATGGAATATCAAGCCTATTCGGATAATCAAACGGAAAAGGACTACCTGAATACTCAAATCGAGGAATGGAATACCCGAAATGAAAAGATGCAGAACTTGATTGATGAAGGAAGAGAAGAGGAAATGGAGAATATGGAGAAACCCGATGCAGCAATCAAGGAAAAACTAGAGAGAGAGGTCAATGAAATCCAACGCTGGCTCGATATCACCAAAGAAGAAGCAATGCAACGTGGTGATGTGGCACCTAATAGAGCGAAAGAAGCTGGTAGAGGTTGGAAAAATGGGGATGGATTTTGATGGCCCATGTGGCTTCACTTCTTCACTTCATCAATTGTGTCATATGTTTCACAACAATACAAGTACCGGCATTTCCAAAATTCAATTCGACCATCATCTGTCAATAAGGTACAGCTTGAAGGTGGCCTCGACTTTGAATGTCATGGCAACTTGCCGCGAAATCTCTCAATGAAGAGATACCCTTTAAAATTCGATGCCTCGTAAGAAATGAGGAAATGAGGAAAGCCCTGCTTGAGCGGGACGGATCGACGATAGAAAAGCCTGGCTTTCTTTGATCCAATCGAATGAAGGTTACGACTGTAGTATACGAGTACTGTACAAGTGTACGGAGTACAATGTAGGTAATCGTGTACCGGTGTACGGAAAGATGTAAGATGTACGGAATGATTAGAGTTTCTAGATCTTCGCCCCTCAATTTCTATTTTCTATGCGAGCTGAGCCTTGGAGGGCTTGAGGTTACGAGGGCTTATTACAACCCCCTAAATGATCCCGCACGGGAAACCGAAAACGAGGAACGAACCACATGTCGATCACGTGTAGGGTTCAGGGTCTTGGGATATACCGGGAATATTTTTTGTGATCTTGTCCTTGTAGGCTTGTACAGACGTACAGACTAGATGAGAAGTGGGATGTGGAGAATGGAGAATGGCTAGGGGGCGAAGTGATGGGTGATGGATGATTTTGCTGAGAATAATAATTTTTAATGGGTTGTAGAGCTGGAAATGCATGTCAAGATGGATGTGTAATTATGGATGTGTAATTGGCAACGGCAGGAATTCATGTGTGAATGATATCTACATACTAGTATGAAATGGATGGGTATTCTCCGAAATGAACTTGAATGTATTCGTCAATATTTAATCTCGAAAATAACAAAGCTTGACCCAAAAAAGGATGAAGTTATTCTTCAATATTGATAACTCGAATCCACCCACGATGATCGATCGGCTTCATGAAGATCCGATCTATATTGATATTAGATTAGGCCTTGACTTATTATCAATCTTGTTGGGAGTGAGTATGGATTTGGAATCGATTCAATCAAGTCCCCCCCCAAATTGTTATCAATGAATGAATGGGTTTGGTCGGGGACCCGGGGTAATTTTGATAAGTTTGGTAGTATGTCTGTCTAATATTTGATATTTGATAATATCTGATTTCTAATATCTGATATCTGATAGATCACAACCAGGTAGGTTAAGGGGCAGTGTTGTGGTGTTGTGTTTGGGTTTGAGGCTTAAGGGCGAGACAAGACCTTACTGGTAGGACAAACGAACATGACGAAAAGAGTGAAAAGAGTGAAAAGAGTGTACAGTACAGTATTGCTTTTTCCTATCAATGTTGCAATACGAAACCAAATCAATTCGCCGATGTTGTCTCGAGGAGAATAAAATAAAGAATCATAGGGAATGATAATAGAGATGGGTCACATTCACCGTTTACAAGCAAGTCATCACCGTTTGTACTGTAACGGTTTCTTGTCTTGTCTTGTCTCAACTTCTCTGTGTCATTCATTACTTGGCAACTGAAACGTTTACTTGAGTATTTACTGAGTAACTGATATCTGTTCAGCTGTTGTATATATATGAGAGGCTTGAGGGGCAAAGAGTTGGAAAATCGGTGCAATTGGATGGGGTGGTATGTATGGATGTTATGGATGTATGGGTATGGTTTAAGTATTACTTGTGAGTACTACTTGCGAGTAAGTATGATATGAATTCATTGTTACAAGGCGACTTCATCTCTTTTCCTCAACTTTTTTTCCTTATGTACTATAGTAGACAGGTACGTACCGGTACATGACCTAGGTATGGGTCGATTGGTTTTAAATACTGGTACAGAGTAAAGTTTGATGATATCAGTACAGTACAATAAATATACTTTCTCATGGTTCCTTTCTCATTGTTCCTTCCATCAAGTATATACACTTCTTCGAAAATATTGGATGAACTCTTCTTCAATTCTCTAACAACAACATTCTTAAGTTCTATCTTGAGCTTCTCGAGACTTGAGTCTTGTCTTTTAACCCGTCGTCGCCAAACTGGTCATTGGTTTCATTTGGGATATAAGTCCCCCCTGAGTTACCCAACTTTCTACCTGATGTAATAAAATGATCGGATGAGGAAATAGAATGGGTCGAATTTCTTCTTGGTAGCTTCCTCTTTACCTTTTTGGGATCTCAGCTGGGATTAAACCTTCACTTGGATTTTCTTTCCACTTTTTTCTAACTACATCGTTACATGGTTTTTATCAATTCTTTATCTTGATTCGTCCAAGATCCATACCTAGTCGACTCACGTCGTCAAGGATTTGACATGTCGCAGAAAGCAACTGGAATTGGAGATCAACCACCACAAATTCCACAACTACCACAACCCCTCCAAAAACAAGGACGTGCCCATGGTTCTGGCGTTGGTATTGGACCTGGACCTGGAGTTTGTATTGGTGTTGGTGGAGGTGGCAATGGGAGTGGAAAAAGGAACGGAAATAGAGTTGGGATTATTGGAAGTGCTGTTCATCTAAAGTCTCCTCCCATTTTCTCTCTGGTATGTCATAAAACTTTTGGCTTGTGCGATCCTTTCCTTTTTGTGAAATTCTATCTTGTATATCTTCTTTATTTTTACCATTGGAACAAAGATATATCTTCATAAAACTTCATTTGGAGAGGATTTCCTGTGCTAGTTTGCATAGATGTGGAAACATTTGAAGAAGAAGAGGAGGAATAGCCTTCAGGACATATCCCAAGTATGTTGATGATCATTTGTTTTGTCCATCAGTTACTAAGATTTGATTACTCTTCTCCAATCTCAATCATTCTTCACTATTGATTTTTATCGGAGAATTAATCCTTCGCCAAACTTGACGAAAGCTTGGGAATTGCGGAGAAGAGAACTGCTTCAATGCGTCATTTTAATTTTATTTGAATTTCTCTATTGTCTTACAGCGCAGGACCATTCAACTCCTGATGTTCCATTAAGAATTCAAGACGAGATATCATACTTTTACAGTACAGCTGAACTGACATAACTCTTGCGACAATTAGTTTCCTCACCCCAATCAGTCGACATCTACCACATCTGCAGAGATGAACATTCAGAATTTGGCAGATCGTCGTGCGGGCATACATCCTCATGGGAGAACTCCTACCTTTAAACCTCCAATCAAAATTGATGAAGCAGGTCCCGGTGAAGAAGATGGCGGCGCAGATGTGAGAGATATACCGTTCTATAAACCCTATAGACCAGGTTTGGGAGGATCTCATCTGGCAGGACCAGTAGGAACACCTCAAGGAAATCGACCAAGAAGACTTTCGATGGATAGATCGTTAGATGCTGGCATTTTAAGGAGAAGAACTCCATCACCAACCCCCGAAAAGTCGGCAAAAACTCTACAAGCTCAAGTTGATATTCCTCAGCGGACAAGGTGAGTCGAGAATACAATTCCCTGCATCTTATAAAGCCAATTAACGCATCTTAGTAGCAGTCTTTACAACGAAGAACACCGCGAGACGGGCCAACATTTACAAGAACACTTTGAGATGGGGGAGAGAGAGGAGCGTCTGGAAATTAGAGAATCAAGGCCGAGTATGCTATCGTCACAACAGTCGATGTCTTCGCCTTCGACGGGACGTTCGCGTTCTCGAGCGGGTTCTTTTTCTTCCTATCAAACAAATGCCACATCTCTACCAGCGTTGCAGAAAACAGGGGTGTTGGAAGAGGGAGAATTACTGGTGCCATTGAATGAGGAAGATATTGATCCTGGATCTTTTGATCTTGTGGCGGCAACTGAAACTGCAGCCAAACGATTTTCTCTCGAAGCAAGATCAGAACAACTTTTCTCGACCGAGCATCTACGGACCATTTTCAGTGACCCTTCGTTACTGTTACGATTCACTTCTTTCCTGGGCGCGCAGAGACCTACTTCAATTCCTATACTTATATATTATTTGGATGCTGTCAAAGCACTGAAAGCTATCTCATACTCGAACGCAATTGCGGAGGCTCTAGAACCAATCCCAGGGTTCGATTTTACCGTGACTGCAGCCTCAAAGACAATGAGCGCTCAACTGGAGGAGAAAGCTACAAAGGCTTTTGATGTGTTGGTTCGAGAAGACCTGCCTGCTTATATTACATGGACATATATACAGACTGTCAGCATATCGATTCAGAGACGAATTACTGGAACTTTACCAGCACATTTGAGAGAGGCCTCGGAGGGCTTAGCCGAGGTCTTTTGTTTGACCGATCCTTCTCGTCCGGACAATCCTATTGTATTTGCTTCCGAAGGTATGTGATGATGGGACAGAAGAAGGGATTTGGTGCTAATAATTTCTCAGAATTTCATCGAACGACGCAATACGGTATGAGTTATGTTCTCGGTAGAAATTGTAGATTTTTGCAGGGACCAAAAACCAATCCATTTAGTGTGAGAAGAATTCGAGAGAAGGTTGAGTCTGGCCAAGAGCATTGCGAGACTTTCCTTAATTAGTAAGTCAGGTCTGAAATAATTGGGAGATGAGGGCTAATCAGAATGATAGTCGACGTGATGGATCTCCCTTCATGAATCTTCTAATGTGTGCTCCATTATGCGATAGCAAAGGCACAATCCGATATTTCATTGGCGCACAAGTTGACATTTCGGGTCTGGTGAAAGAATGTGCCGAATTAGAATCTCTTCATCGTCTGGTTGCAGCAGAAGAACTTGCCGAGGAGCGCGCAGCAGAAAAAGCCGCCAACCCTAATATAATACAGGAGGAACTTCCAGTCGCACCTCCGAAAGACGAATTTCAAGAATTGAGCGAAATGTTAAACATGCAAGAGCTGGACACAGTACGAAAATGGGGAGGAAGGATGCACAAAGAAACCGAGGAGGATCATTCCGACAACAATCATCGAAACGGAAACTGGCACAAACCGAGATTGCATCTCACAAGCACAAGTCCTGATATTATGAAGCCAAATGCACACTCAGGACGCATCAGTGGAAAATTAAATGGTATATATGAGAACTATCTTCTCGTTCGTCCATACCCAAGCTTGAGAGTCTTGTTCGCGAGTCCGACGCTCAGAGTACCTGGTGTTTTACAATCACCCTTCATGTCGAAAATAGGAGGCAGTAATCGTGTTCGTGAGGAATTGACTCAAGCTCTTGCTGATGGTCGAGGCGTCACTGCTAAAGTCCGTTGGGTTACCAAAGATGATTTGGAAGGTCGACCCCGCTGGATTCATTGCACACCACTTATCGGTTCTAACGGCGCAATTGGTGTATGGATGATCGTCGTCGTCGATGATGAAGCTACGCAGCAGAATAGCAAGAGATATAGATTAGCGCCAGCGATAGACCCAAGATTTGGAAGGTCAATACCATTTGTGGGGAAGGCGGATAGTAGTGCGGGAAGCATAAGGGATTTCTCGCTTACTGATCATCATGGACCGAGTGGTGGTAGAGGTGCGGGATATCCACCACGGACACCGGGATCACTAAGAAGTCTTGAGGGTGATGAGGGTGAAAGTTTAAGGAGTGGAAGTCCATATACTTTGAGGATTGACTGATTGATATGTCCATCGAAAAATGGACAGATGATAGACAGATGGTTGTTGGTATTGCGTGCTTATGTCATACTTTTCTTTTGTTACCGCAGTTTCAAGTGTCGCTACGCTACTATGATATGGACAAGCTCAGGCTAAAGGATGGGATGGGATGGGAGGCGGTCTTTTGATTTTATAAACATTGCGTTGCATTTTAGCGTTTGTTTTTTTCTTCTTCGTTCGGTTCTCGGCAAAACTTGTTTTTGTATGCATATTGTATTAGCGATACTGTACTTACTACATTATGTGGTATGAAGATGAGAGGCAGGTTTTTGTTGGGGGTTTTAATATTATTATTTGGGAGATGAATGAGAAGAATGGGGATGGATGAATGGAGAGAGGATAGAGGGAGAGGATATGGGAGATGGAAAATGGGAAATGGGAGATGAGAGGGAGGAAAATGATTGAAAGAAAGATGGTTAATATTGCAGCAAGAGGGCTAGCATACTTGCTTGTAAAAGGAGGATTCGATAAGAGTGGACAGAAACAATATCAGATTGGAATTTGGGATAGTAAGGAAATTGCTTTGGCTATAGCTATGGCTAGAAGGGGAATGGAAAGAAATGGAAATTGCTTTGGCTAGGGTAGGGTAGGGTTGTTGGGTCTTGGTATGGTATGAATGGATGTATGGTACTTGGGGTTAGTATTCCTAGTATAGAGAGCGTATACCTACCTAGTTTAGAGTAGAGTATAGTGTCCTATAAAATACTTCTTTTGATCATGAAATGAGATGGAGATGGAGTGTGATGTGATGTGTGTATGTAGATGGGATGCATAGTTTCAGAAAAGAAAAGAAAAGGATACTGTATTCTGAAAAAATAGGATCGTTTGAGGGGATAGTTTAAAGAGTGAGATGGAGTGGATGAGATGAGATGGTTTAGGGTTTAGGGTTTTGGATGAAGGGTTTTGGATGAAGAGGTTGGAGAGGTAATATATGGAAAGAAAAGAAAAGAAAAGGGAAGGGAAGGGTTAGAAAAGATACTTGAAAAGGGATTTGAAGAGGGATTTGAAGAGGGATTTGAAGAAATAGTTGAGTGAGTGAGGACTGGGTGAGGGTGGTAGGTAGGTAGGAAGGAGGACTGATATGCTATGGTATGGTATAGTAGGTAGATAGGTAGGTAGGTAGGTAGGTAGGTAAATATATGTTATTTGAATTGGTTGATTGGTTGGTAGGATGGAATAGGGTGGAATGGATGAATGAGATGAGTAAGATGATGAATTAATAATTAAGTGAGTAATTGGAATAGGGTAAAATAGATGAGTCAGTAAGATAAGTGAGTAAGTAAGTGAAGTGGTATACTCGAGTAGTAATTATACAAGTTTATACTCGAGTGTGTATATAATCAATGATTTATCTTCTTTTTCTTTCTTTTCTTTTCCTTTCCTTTCCTTTAATCCTCCTCTCTTTGGAACTTGAATTAC